GACCGAATGAAGGAACACTACGACATTCAAGCTGAGCATGGAGGATACCAACCAGGGAAGTTGGTGTGGCTATATAACCCGCAGAGACGTCGTGGGTTATCTCCGAAGCTACAATCCTCGTGGGAAGGGCCATACGAAGTCATGGATAGAATTAATGACGTCGTATACCGTATCAGAAAATTGCCAAAAGGAAAACCGAGGGTAGTCCATTTCAACCGTTTGAGCCCCTACCAAGGCGAAATAGAAGATCGTGCTGGGACCGTGAGAACCTGCAGCTTTGATCCCCCTGATTCGGAGATGTCCTTTGACGATTTCATGGCCCGATACAACAGCAGTGAGAAGGCTCGCTATGGTGTAACCAAAGAAGATCAACGAGACCTCTTTTCCGTGCCTCCTGATTATTCGCTCGCTCATTGTGTGGCTCGAGATTTGCGGATGTCCAGAGGAATCGCTGCGACGTTCAATGAGAAGTTTGGGCGTGTCGGAGAACTACGCCGACAGGATCCAGAGGTTGGAAGCGTCTTGAGGCTAACCGACAATGCACATGGTCAAGCAAGGCACATCTTCTACCTGGTCACCAAGGAATGGTCCCCGAGTAAGCCGACTTATCTCAATCTATGGAAGACCCTGATTGAACTGAGAGAAGCCCTGCTAAACAACAACATTGCACGATTAGCCATTCCGAAGCTGGCGTGTGGACTCGATGGTTTGAGTTGGCGTACAATCCGGAACATGATTGAAGTCTTGTTCAGATTTACGGGAATCGAGATCCTCGTTTGCTGCTACAACCCAAAGCTGAGATCGGGAGAGAAAACTGTAGACTGCTATTTCTACCAGACTTCGCAATGTACCAGGGGCCAGCTTTGCAAATACCTTCATTCACGTATACATCTCGGGACGAGTATGTGCCTAAGAAGGGGCAGTGTTGCGAGCCGGTGTGGACTCGACCTAACCTCACAATATGGCCCGCCCTCGGATGACCTTAACATCGCATAGACACCGCAATGACTCATTCGTTCGAAAAGAATCGAGACCCACTAGAATGGACGCGTACATACGAGAACATTCGAAAACCTTCTCTATGCGCCTAACGATCTTTGGACTATTCTAGATTTCTTTTACCTGTCGGTATAAAGCCGGCGGCAGTGGCCTAGAGGAGGGCAGTTATAAATATACAGTTGACGCGCTAAAATTAAAAATAAATTCTTAGTTATAAATCGTTTGTAAATAGTTCTATAAGTCTTTTATCGTTATTATTTTTGTTAATTAGTGTTAAATAAATAGTGTTTAAATAAATTGTGACTTTCTATCCACACGGAACCGACGAAAAACGTAACAATAGTAAAAGATATATCAAAGAGCCTTAAAATACTTTCTCGAAAACTTTGCTAGCTCTTAGACTATAACTAGCATCATGATCAGCTTATTCAACAATTTCCAATTATGGTGTAGCCTCCCCCACATATTCAAATACTTTCTTTGTAGCTGAGCCCATTGTTGTCTATTGTTGGATATGCATGCGGGCCCAAGTTATCTCTGCTAATTTCCTAATATCATGGTCCTATCCCAGCTTGGGTCTTCTTCTAGGTCTCTTAATTTTTCGTGGGTACCATGCTGTAATTTTTGTGGTCCATCTGTTGTCCGTCCTTCTTGCCAGGATTTGATTCTCTGGATGATATGGTCGAATATTTTCTTCTTTAGATAAAGTGGCATTCTAGAGATAGGTTTGAATATGATTGAGTTTCTTTCATAAGTACTCCATGCTAACTTAATTCTTCTGTTGATTTCTGGCGGTGGAGATCATGAGCTGTGTATTAGTTTACCTAAATATTCTTCTACTATTTCCAGTGTTGTGTTATTTACTAAAATTTCTTTTCTGTCTACTAGTTCGTTGTACATTACTTTAGTTTTTGTTAAATTAATTTTGCAAGCTACTTTATTGCTGGCTGTATTTAGTTCATTAATTTACGCTTTTAGTTCTTCAGGATTATTGACAATTAGGACTATTGGACTATGTCATCAGCCAATCTTAGATGGTTAAGGTATTCTTGATAAATGGCAACATAGGCGTAATAGATTAAATTTACAAGAAAGAAAACCCAGAAAAGATTCAGTGGTTTTCAAAAGTTAAGGACAAAATATTTTTTCTTATTATATTATTAGGTAAAATAACTCGGCTTTTTGGACTTATTTGATAAACGGTAAAGCGAAAATATGTTTCTTTTATCGAAACGTACCAGACCTGAAAATATTTGCACTTATTTAAGGCTTACCCTGTACAACTTATAAGTATAATACAGGGTGGTCCGAACTGTATTATATATACTTCGGCGGTATATTCTGCAGATAAAAATAGGTAAAAAAGTTCGTATAAATGTATGTCTTAAAATACTTAGTTTCGGATATACAGGGTGTAGAATTTCATTTGTGATGATTGAATCAATCATGACGATCATGATAATGATTAAATCAAAACATTGTAATGATTGAATCTATATGTATAACAATTTTTGAAACTGTCGTTTCTTTCCCCGAGCACTATTTTTCGAAATCGACCAAAGTGTTATTGACCTTAATAGATTGTTGTTATTATTTTTCTTATTCCACATCAATGTTGTTTGACGCAAGTGCATATAAATCTTAATCTCGTTACAAGTGATAATTTAATCGGGGTTATGTTTCCATACTTCTCGATGTCCCAAATATGATCGCTCTATAGCAGGGGAATAGTCTCAGTTCAAGAATAATGCGGGTGAACAAGTTAACGTTACAAACTTGATGACCTTTTAACGCGGTCTTATCCGAATACAAAAAATATACGTTATGTAATTATCAAAATTACGCTTATTAACTTAATTAGTGGAGTGCTTTAAGCCCTTATGTGATACAAACCTCGGAATTCATTTACTGTGAACGAATTTTTATAAAACTTTTTGCATTGTATTGTTAATAAGATATATTACAAAGTTTACCCATTTAAATTCGTTGCTTTCACTTTAGTATTTAAATAAACACACATATACAAATGCATACATACAATAAGATGGCTCCGTATTCCGCAAAAGTTCTGTATCAGGATTCCTATTTGAGATTTTTACTCCAAACCTTTTTCAAAATATGTGTTTAATTGTAGTTCACATTTCAAAAATATTTTTATAGATATACAGGGTGATTCAAATATATATCTATATTTGTTTAGTTCACTGAATTTGCTATAAAATTCCGGTTCCAAAAATACCTTAATACCATAGAGTATACTATGTGGTTTTTGAATTATGACCACAACCACAAGGACGTCAATCTAGACGTCCAGGAACCTTCGTATGAGAACTTCTAATCGAGACGATCGACTTATTGTAAGTTTATCGCTAAAGAACCGCCGTTTGCCAGCTTTTCAAATTGATAATGAATTGCACTTAAGAAACGTACATATTAACTAACGGACTATAAGAAGAAGATTAAATGAAGCAAATCTTATGCTTCGGGACCAGAACTTACTAGATGTATTGACTAGGCCCAAAAGCAAAGTCATGGTCTTAATGTAAAAATTATGAAAAAATGTTAGTGTCTTCTTCAAAAGCGAATATTTCCGACAAAAATAAAGCTAATGAGATGAACCAAAAAACAAACCATCGAAAAAGGAAATATCTAGATGATAAAATGATTTTTAATTTTTTTGCGGTTTTACCGGGTGTATCAAACTTTCACTGAAATATCAACATTTTGTTTTCCCTCGTATAATTAACAGATGGGGACTTTCATTTTTAATTTAGAAAAAGATACTAAAAAGTAAAATAATTTGGCTACACACTGTTTAAAAAATCATCAAAATCGGCCCATTAAAACAAAATATATTAACCTTTAAAATACATCAAAGTTTTAAGGTGCCCATTTTTCGTTCCGGTGAATGTATTTCAAAAACTATACATTTTAGTCATATATTTTTCTAATGAAACAAACCTTTATTTTTTTACTAGAACCCAAAAATCAATTAATATATAGGGTGTTAAAACATAACTTTGATTTGTAACTTTTTTTGGGGACACCCTGTAGAACTGTAGAATAAATAATTTTAGAAAATGCTTTAAATTGACTTACATAAGCTTACAAAATTTCACTTCAATACACACTTTTGTTGGCCTTGCAAAAATCGCTTCGTATATGTCGCGCCACCCTGTATAATTCGATTTCAATCAAAATTTCAATGGTTACAATATAAGCAGAATATGTATAGCTTATGCATTACATTTATTTACTTCAATAAATTTACTTAGAAAAAGAATTAAAAAAATAGAAAAATTAAGAAGGAAATAATTAAGAATTTACTAAAATTATTAAAATAAAAAATTAACAGCAACGAAAAAAAAAATGGGTAAACATTTTAGTATTTTATCTATAAAACACAATACCTACAGAAGGTTTCACATTAATACATTCACAGTAATTGAATTCCGAGGTAAAAGTCTCTGTGCACTCCACAGGTAATCCAGAATAACAATTGTATCCAGATTACAATCGTATTAATAACGATACATACATTTGGTAAATGCGAATCGGATTTGCAATTTTGTGCTTAGATTGTGCGAGAGAGAATCGTTTCGATATTGTTTATGTATACGTTAAAAGTCTGTATCAAAGCAAAGATTGACCAAAGCCATTTCAAAAGTGATAACCTCTGGGAAAAAGTCGACTTTGTCCATTAAAGAAGCAACGAAAGGTTGTTGTTTATCCAGTCCACTTGGGAACATTGTAGCGATAATATACGACATTTTTATTAATTAATATTTTCTAAATATACACGTTTATATTATATCTACAGTTATTAGAGTACTGGTCGTCGCGCGAACTTGGCTCTTGTGCGAATTCTTCTCTGGTGGTGATGAGCCACTAGCCAATCTTTGTTTATCTCGTGTTATTCGCATTTTTCTGTAGCAGAGGACAATAATAAAGCGGAAAGATGAGGTCTCGTAATGTAGTAAAAGTTAATGTTCATGTTCCAGATGTGGTCGCATCTTCGGGGAGTATGATAGTCATCTCCAACAGGCTGCCATTCGTCTTGCAAAGGAACAAAGATGGACAACTCGTAAGGAAAGCTAGGTAAGTACTTATATGTATTTTAATTTTTACTTATAGAAAGTATATTGTTTGATTCTGATTTATTTTTGAAAGATTCTTGACTTTATTTATATAAAACAAGATTGACAAATTAAATCCAGGGTAATTTTTAAAACATTATTTTATCAAACAGCCGCTACTTATACAGACATTACTCACATGTATACAGGCATACAGGGTGTCATTGAAATGGTGTAAAAAAAATATATATAGGGCGGAAAATGCATATTAAGGGAGTTAGGGGCACTGAAAGGGTGAATTTAAAAAACGGTTGTTTTGAAATTGCAGGCTTAAAAAACGAGATAAAATTTCGCACGACCAAAAAACACCCTTACTTATATATTAATAAATAAAAAAATATGTTTCTTTGTTATGGTCATTTTGTTTTTGTGGATTTGGCCTGGTTGCCTGTTTTTCCCGGGCCGGTTTCTACTTCCCCATCCACCCCTGCTTGTTGTTTGTGCAAGTTCAAAAATTGAATGCAAAGAGTGTGCTCTGATAGGCTGTTAACTGGTTAATCAACATAAACTTATGAAACTTATGGCGGTTTAAAAGTAACCAAGTAGTTATTAAATAATTAATTGAAAATCAAAATTTCATGATTTTTAAAACATCTTATTGCTTTAAAAACGAATTAAACCAATTACCAAAATTCCTTATTAAAATAATGCCTTCCTTAATTCATTCATAGTAAATGTTTAAAGTGACCACCATTCATTTCAATGCAGACATCTGCTCCAAAATCTGCGTACCTTGTGGAATATCCTTGGTGTTGTCCAAATTTGTTTGGAACAGTTAATAATGCGTTGCCGTAGTTGCTCTTCAGTATTAATCGGCACTGAGTAAACCAAAGCTTTCAAGTGGCCCCTTCTGGACAAAAATCTTCTAGAAATCTAGTGGATTATTTCGTTTTTTACCCAGAGCAAACTCTTTGCCTTCAATTTTCTCGAAAACCATCGCTCTGGGCGATGTGCAACAAGAGTACCTTTTTTGTAGGAAAAAGTATGTAGTTTTCAAAAAATGAACCCACGTTGCAAAAAAATAACTTCAAAAAAGTTATTCACGCCCCCTATCCTTGCTCCCTATCCTTGCCCCATACCCTTGCCCCCTACCCTTGCAAAGGCACCCTGTGTGATATTATCCAAAGAGGATTCCGCATCGCTGAGAGATGGTGCAGGACTGTCGGGCTGAGTATTAACTCAGATAAAACCGCAGTAGTGCCATTCACCAGAAAGCGAAGTTTGAAAAACTTGAAAAGAATCCATCTAGATGGAAAGGAAATACTGCCATCACAGGAAGTGCAATATCTGGGAATAACCCTGGATAGTAAACTTCTCTGGAACAGGCATATTAAGAACATTACCAGCAAAGCCACAAAGGCTCTCATGATATGCAGAAGACTGGCGGGAAATAGGTGGGGCTGCGCCCCTAACATTTTGCGCTGGATGTATACCATGATAGTAAGACCCATGATTACTTATGGAGCAGTTGCTTGGTACACAAAACTAGAGCAACGTACAGCAAGGCAAAACCTGTGCAAAGTACAGAGACTGGCATGTATCTGCATCACAGGTGCCATTAGAACATGTCCAACAGCAGCAATGGAGGTCATTCCAAACCAAACCAAACCAAACCTAACACCACTGCACATTGTCGTCGGTAGTTATGCCAACGCGACAATGATTAGAATGGTTACTGACGGAAACAGTATTGGGAGAATTTTCAGGTCAGGGGCTTGGAACACCCTCAAAAAAAGAAAATCCACTTCTCCAACTCCCAGTGGATGACATACCAAGAATTTACAACTTTGAGAAACACCTCACTGTAGTATTGAGTAATAAAAAGGATTGGAAGAAAGAGACGCTTACTCAGCATATAAAAGACCATACCATCATGTGGTATACGGATGCTTCCAAAACCAAAGCAGGGACAGGGATAGGAGTATTTGGACCGAAAACTGAATACTCCGAACCAATGGGCACCTACCCCAGTATCCTTCAGTCAGAAATTTGCGCTATCGAAAGATGCGTACAATTTATCTTAGATAGGAATCATCGAAAACAGGAAATTGCCATCCTATCCGATAGTCAAGCAGCACTTAACGCGATCAACTCAGTAACCATCAATTCGAAGTTGGTCAAAGAATTCCTGGAGAAGCTCAACAAATTAGGCAAAGAAAATAAAGTCCTCCTACTCTGGGTGCCTGCTCACCAAGGGATAGAAGGCAATGAAAAAGCAAATGATCTAGCTAGAAAAGAATCTGGAAGACTCCATCCGTAACTTGGAATGGGTGTCCTCCAACGGTCTAAGACACTCGAAAAAGTTCCTTAGAACTTATGACCGAGAAAAATCAAAGGTTTTCCTTGATTTAAGTAAAAACAATCTTCGGATTGTCACGGGGTTTCTAACAGGAAACTGTCTCCTCAACGAACACCTCAGTAGGCTGAAACTGAGAAACAACGGCGAATGCAGATTTTGTGGGGAAAATGGGGAAACACCAGAACACCTTATCACTGAGTGCGCCGAGACGACGACCATTCGTGCCATGAACCTTGGTACGTCTGATGTCGAGGATGGAGAGCTGGCCTCTGTGGAGCCGTCTCAGATACTGGCTTTTCTTAAAGCCTTGAGACTGTATGATGAGCTTTAACTCGTTATAACTCAAGAAAGGGGAACACACAATAGATCTATAAGGTCGCGGTGATTAACTCCCTTCCTAAACATTCTACATTCTACATTATACCCTTTCCGCTTTTCCAAATCATTTTTCAGTATCACCATTTAATTTAGGGTCAAAATTTATGGCAGAGCATTTTTTTTCGAAATTTTATCTCGTTTTTTAAGCCTGCAATTTCAAAACAACCGTTTCTTAAATTTACCCTTTCAGTGCCCCTAACTCCCTTAATATGCATTTTCCGCCCTATACTTATAGGAACTTTTTTTACTATTTTTAGGAGTACTATCACCCCCTGATTTTTTTACACCATTTCAATGACACCCTGTATAATAGTATATTACATACCGAGGAGGGAAGTGTTTCATTACTATCGAGAGATTAACTAAATCTCGAGACAATAATGAAAACTTTCCTCCGAGGTATGTATACTATTTTATTTACAGCCATCATTAATTAAAAAATAGGCACAGTAGGTATTTTATTTTGAAAAAAAATAAATATGCGAAAATTTGTCATTTTCTGTTTTGGCATTTCCATATCTATACTTACCGGTACCAGTGGTTGTTATGGCACAAACCTTAACCTTCAACAGCAAAACAAACAACTAAGTGACAGTTTTGAATTTCTCGTTCGCTTTTTCGAATTCATATAACATAGAAAGCCAGAATGTTGTCGGAAAGTTCTGATAATGAAGACCACTTTAATATTGGTACTCCACCAGAACTTACAGAAGCTGCTAAAAGAGCAGAAACCAATTTACTTCTGGAAAAAAGTAGGGGGCGATATGAAATAGCATTGAAAGTATACGAAAAATGATATGCCGAAAGAAATGCTAAGAATATTATTGCTTCGGAGACAGTCTTGATCGTATATTTTAACGACATGGCAGGGCAGAAAAAGCCATCTACTCTTTGTGTGAAAAGACTGACATATCAAAATGTCACAGACTCACTTTTTTAAAACGCCAGAATGTAGGTTTTAAGCCAAAGAAGTCTAGCATTTTTACCAGGCAAAAATAAATGTATTAAAATCTTCAATTATTATTGTTAATCTTCTTGTTTATTTTTGTTGATGTTAGATAAGTATTTAATAAAGATATTACAAGAATATTTTGCTTAATTAAATGAGGCGAGAAATAAGAAAAACCGAGTGGGGGAAATGGACGAGGGAAAAGGGTGAGGGAAATGGAAGAGAGAAGAAATGTAGATAATTTGACACTTTCAAATTTTTTAAAAGTCAGTAATGTCAGTATTACATATGCGGTTATAAATCAAATAAATAATAACACACGCGTGAGTTTTTGAAGTTATCGTTTGTTATAACTGTGTAGTGTATTATGAATTCTCTATCATATACGCCACGAGACTTTTCTGGGAGTATTTGTGCTGTAGCCGCCTCTGCCTGGTTAATAATTTCTTGCGGAAGATCTTCCTGAATCATTTTCTTCACAACAATCTGACTTGCTGATTGATAGTTCACTATTTTATCGTTAAAAAAACGCGATTTATCTAATTGACGTCTTAAGGTCAGTGCTATTTATTATTTACAAAAAAACAAAACGCACATCTATATTGCATATAGTAACATAAACGCACCCTGATAATTTATTAATTCGCAACAATGAAAGTAGAGCTGGTAGATCCGTTTAAATCAATTATTCTTTAGAGCATGGTTTCTTAAAGTGTGGTCCACGGACCCCTTAGGGGTCCATAGCATGGATATCATGGGTCCGCGGTCCGCATTACGCCAGTTAACTATAAACATATTTTTAAGAAAATAAATAGTGTTGGGCGGCGAATTCAGTAGGTATTTAATCACTAAACACTACGCGATGCGCGTAAGGATAAAAAAAAGCAAAGTTGAAGCTGTTTCCTTATCAAACGATGTTATTCATTCTAGAATTGTTAAAATGTTGTCAAATGTTTTACAAGTTGTTGAAGAATTAATTGCTTCACCGTTTCCATTCAGCATTCAATTATTGGATGAAAGTACCGATTTGTCACAATGTAGCCAACTCTTGGTATTACAAGACACACGTAGCATTAAAGAAGAGTTTCTTTTTTGCAACTCACTTTAGGAGCCTACAAAGGCTTCAGATATTTTTGAAACGACAAAAAGGTTTTTCAACGAACAGAATATAGACTGGAAGACTAAACTTTGTAGTATCTGCACCGATGAAGCTCCCGCGATGCTTGGTAATACGTCTGGTTTCGCGGCTTTGGTCAAGAAAGATATCCCTCATGTCATAATAACTCATTGTGTCTTACATCGACATGCCTTGGCTTCACGGACTTTACCTACATTTTTGAAGGAAGTTATGTCTACATATGTCAAAATAATTAACTTCATCAGAGCAAGAGCCTTAAACCACCGCGGCACCGCCTGTTTAAAAGACTTTATCAAGAAATGGGGTCAGAACATGAAGTACTGCTTTACTACACAGAAGTTTATTGGATGTCAAGGGGACAGATCTTAAAGCGATTGTTTGAGATGTGGACAGAAGTGTTACTTTTTCTAAAAGATAAAGGAAATTCACTGTCTAAATATCTTGAGAGCGAAGATTGTGTACGGAGTCTAGTGTATTTGTCAGGTATATTTACTCAATTGAATGAGATTAACTTGTCTCTTCAGGTCTCTGCGGTGACCATCGTGGATGCATCTGGTTGAAAGGTTTCATATGTAAACTGCCACTTTGGAAAAGGAGGGTGGAGTCTGGTAACTTTGAAAATTTTCCGATGTTTGAAGAGTTAATAGAACAAGGTGACGGCAACACGATATCAAAAATGCTACAGAAAGAGGTGTCTATGCATTTGGATACATTGCAAACTTCTTTTGAAGGCTACTTTAACTTAGAATCGCTTGAAAATGAAACATGGGTGCGGGGTCCATTTATAATCGACACGAATAATATCAGCGATGAAGATTTGATGACTTAATTAACATGAGATCAAAAGAAGTTTTGAAAGCTGAAGTTCATGCAAAAGATCTTGGCAGTTTTGGTGTTCTTTAAGTCAAGCTTACACTCTTTTTGTTAAGTGCGTTATGTCCGTTCTGATACCATTTGCTACTACTTACCTTTGCGAGGCAGGGTCCTCGGCTCTGGTCTCAATAAAAACAAAAATCACAACCGATTGTCGCAGATGATATGCGCCTTGCCTTGTCGAAGATAACCCACAATTTAACGTTCTCATTGAGGCTAAACAGCAGCATCCTTCTCACTAATTTAAGTGTAATAAATCTACAAATAAACGTTTTCTGTTTATGTAAATAAGGCTTTTTTTATTTTCCTCTATTATTTCTGATAGGGGTCCGTGGAATTGTACAAATTGCGAAAGTGGTCCGTGACTGCAAAAAGTTTAAGAAACCCTGCTTTAGAGACTGGATATGAAACAGTTCTGTAGTTGGATAAAATTTTGTATGGCACTCGCGCACATCGAATTGAGGTTTTTTAAATGTCCAATAATACTTCAATTTCATGATATGTGACGTGTAAATATTTTTGGTAAAAAAGCAGTTATTTCACTCACTTACGTGCAGCATCGACGTATTTCTGGCTTTTGTTGTGGCCTGCAGTTGTTGGTGCACCTGTTTTTGACCCGATTATACGGGAGCTATTATTATATTAGAAATAAATATTAGTTTTTAATTTCTTTTTTTGCTCTAGTGCTGGAGGCCTCGTAACAGCAGTCGCCCCAGTAGTTATCAATGGCAATGGATTTTGGGTAGGCTGGCCTGGTCTCCACCTGGAAAATCCCGATGAACCCATGCCTGAAAGTGATCCTGATGATATAACGCCCACTGCCGGACTTAAATCAAACAAGGTAAAACCATTCACAACACCTATAAGAATACTTAAGAGTCTATTGCGCTGTCCTTTCGGGTTGCTCTCAGGGGTCGGGTAAAGCGGGTGTGTGGCCGAAGGAAATATATGTTATATTTCAGAAATCTGCCTAAGGCTTAGCCCGATCATGTCGTGTTAAGACACGCCCAAAATAAAATTCCAAACACACGTGCTTTGAATAAGGCTCGATTAAGGCTATGCGCGCACTGCATCGGATCGGACCGACCAGCAAAAACGACTGCGACCATCGTACATATAGACGGCGCCGGCGCTCACTAAAACATTTCGGCTTGTAGAGGCCAGATTCCTACCTCTACCTATCTACGATAGTCGAGTCACCGCCTTCGCCGTTTCTCGCCGGACTGGTACCGATTCAGTGCGCGTACACCTTAAGGTTTGCAGAGCTTCGGCATTTGCCATAAAATAGTGAGCAATTTGTTACAAAACTATATAAATTATGTATCACTGTAATCACAAAACTTCAATTTATTTCCGTATAGTAACGGAATTTTAAATTATGGCTTTATTTGCGAGAAAATTTAGTCTAAACATAAGGAATATATATACTAGTATTATAATTTATCTTTAATTTCCTTCTTTATTTGTGTAAAAATACCTAGCCAGTTTGACATAAAACGTTAAATGCCGAACGCTTATTTTGCTACTTTTTCGGACTAATGAAATGGACTCTTTATCTATCAACATCTATCAAGAGATTTTTTGTTATTTACTGTTATATTTAAATAAAAGACCACCGATAAATGCCATTTTGGTTTGTAAATAAAAAACACACAAAATTATCTATATTCGAAACCAAACAAACTTTTAGTTACGTAATCGAGGGTGCGATTTTTAAATTCATTGTTGCCAATCATGGACATATTCGGCGCCAGGCTAACTAACTGGAATTTAAATTTCCCGCCGGGGATTCAGGTGTAGCTCTGCTATAAAAAATGTCAAGTTGTGACATTTATTTATTTATTTCCTGACATTGTCATTCGTTCTGACACTTTAGTATTTTATTACGAGTTTTTGGGTTAAATGAACTGTGTTGTGATACTTTAAGCTTAAACATTTTTACTAGCAGACCTTGCAGTCGAATATTGTTTTTTTTAGAAACTCCCTTAGTGCGAAGTGGGGTACAAGATAGCATAATAGTCGTTGCAAAAAAACTCATCGCAACTTTATTATAATATTTTGAACGGGAAAGCGGTAGTAATTAATGAAGGGATGTCCCTTTATGTCTTTTAATCTTTAAGTTAAGGAGATTATTTTTAATTAATTTATTTTTGTTTCTTAAAATATTTTTAATTAAATAAAAATTGGTCAAGTGCGAGTCGGACTCGCGCACGAAGGTTTCCGTACCATTCATTATCTATACAACATTAGACACTATTATTATAAACTTTTTTTCCGATTTAGCTGAAATTTTGAATGCGCGTATAAGTAATTTAAAAAAAATGAAGAAACACATTACTAAAAATTGTATTAATCAATAATAAATATGTAAAATTAAAAAAAAAACGATTAAAAAAAGTCGCATTGGCTAGGATTCGAACCTGCCTTACTACGGCTGCAGCTCCAACGTCATAGCAGCGTAAAGTCCTAACGCTTTAAACTACGCGGCCCACCGAGGACTTGAAAGATTCTATCTAAAATTCTTACTTAAAAGATAATGTTTAGTGAAAGTACTTTTTTATTTATAAACATTTATTTAATTCTGTTTTTAGTATTTGTTCTTATAAGGGGCAACATAGATACATTATCTGTGAAAATTTCAACTGTCTAGCTATAACGGTTCATAAGATAGACCTTTGTGACAGACGGACGGACGGACGGATAGCAAAGTCTTAGTAATAGGGTTCCCGTTTTTTACCCTTTGGGTACGGAACCTTAAAAAGCATGTAAAAGTGGGCAATGCTGTGCCGGTCAAGCTTAATCACGTGATTAAAAGTTTATTTGGTATAATCTATAGTTTCCAATCAGTATATATCTGTTTATTTTTATTGCAGCGTGCTCAGTTATCAATATATTACTAAATTAACTTATTAATAATATAGCATTATCGTAATCAATTTTTTCATTCAATTCCGAGTATTGTTAAGAAAATAAACATCACTTGAAATACAAACAGACCCAATAAAAAAATCTTAAGTATATTGTGATAATTCCAATAATATACACAAATTAATTTATTTACAATTCCTTTAAAGTGGTAAACATTATTGTAAATTGGAGAATTTGTTTATGTAGGGGGAAATACACCATGTACATATATTTGTATATATTAAAATGTGAAGCTAAAGTACGAATCAATAACTAAAAAATACAAGGACACGTAATGCCCATATACGGGTTGCAGCAGAATTTGTTGTTTTTGGCGCCATTTTTTGGAGAGACGGATGTGTGACATCAGTGACAATTTACTAACGATTTTTAATAGTTTCTTGTGTGTAGTAAACTTTGTATAAACTTTATTATAATGGTGATTTGTTCAGCTTTCAAGTGTAAAAGCCTCAACGACAAGAAAGTAAGAAAGAGCCAGGAGTTACGTTTCATAGGTAAATAAACAGTCCACTCCACCTTTTTAGCGTTTTTTTATTGAATTTGGTAATTATTCTTCTGATATTATATGTACTTGATATGTGCCATACGTCGATGCTAGTTTTGTACCTTTTGTTAAAATTTTAACACGTTTCTTTTGTAATTAATTAGTATGACATCACTTAAATAAGCAGCATAGTCAAAACATTGGGTCAACTTTCGTTTAGCTGAAATCAGTTATTAGAAAAAAAAATTGTCTTTAAGAAGCTACTGTGAATCACGGAAAACACAAATTTTCCTGCGGAAATGCGTAATTGCCAAATTTCGCACTTTAGAATAACTGAAATCTGCTATAAAAAACATACATTTTGCGTTTTGTTTTTAATATTTTTCTGAACATATAAACACAAAAATTTTCCTGCGGAAATAAGCTGTTTTCATTTTCTAAGGAAATTTATTAGACTTTAGAATAGCTGAAATCAGTTATATAAAAAAATAAATATATTTTTGCCTTTTAGAAGCATTCACGAATTGAGGAAAATGAAAATTTTCCTGCGGAAATAAACTGTATCCATTTTCTGAGGAAATTTAATAGACTTTAGAATAGCTGAAATCAGTTATATAAAAAATAAATATATTTTTGTCTTTTAGAAGCGTTTACAAACTCAGGAAAATAAAAAATTTCCTGCGAAATGCTTGATTTTCATTTTCCATTTTTGTAAGCATAAATATATAAAAAATTATATTTTTATCACTTTTGAACCAAAAAATTTAAATGTGTCTAAAATGCTAACCAATCTAATATTTTTACAAAATCACAGTTAATTATTAAAATATAAAACCACAGCTTAACACAAAGAAAATAAGCTAACCAAAGCAACCCAAATCCTAACAAATCTAATAATATTTTTGCAAAAACACAGTTAAAAATATAAAAACCACAGCTTAACACCCTCCACAAAGAAAAGCTAACCAAAGCAACCCAAATGCTAACCAATCTAATATTTTTGCAAAATCACAGTTAATTATTAAAATATAAAAGAAAACTGCATGATCCAATGATTTTTTCTTTTGAATCAGCCCTATTTACGTAAAGCTTTCATAAAAAACAAGAATAATTGTAACATTCCGAGGCACTTATAGTTTACAAGAACCTATATTATCTATTCTACAAGAATTGTTATTTCTCTGAAAGATGTTTTACCTTACCCAGCACCCCTATTCGCTCCCGGGTCCCGTAAACTGAAAAATGTATGAAAAACAAAGTGTACAAAATGACATTGACACATTTCCGCAGGAATTTTTTTGTATCTCTTTGCTCGTAAAGGCTCGTATAAAACAAATATAAGTTTATTTTTCATGTAACTTATTTCGGCTATTCTAAAGTCAAAGCATTTTTTTATGTAAAATAAAAATAAAAAATTTCTGCAGACACTTTTTTGTGATTTTATGTTTAGAAAAATGTCTAAAACACACCCCGAAGACTAGTTTTGATGTAACAGAATTCGTCTATACCAAAGTCCGAAAAATGAAAATGACGCATTTCCCCAGGAAATTTTTTTGTATATTTGTACTCCTAACGCCTTCTAGAACGCATATATGAAGTCATTTTTTATATAACCGATTTCAGCTAAACGAAAGTTGAGCCAAAACATTTATTAAAAATATAAGTATCTCTTCAAGCAGCTAAGTTAAGAATAATATGTGGCACGGCACTGTTTGGTGGTATGGTAACAATTTGGTCTCGTGTGTTATTGATCCTTGTATTCTTTAGTCATTGGTACGAATACATAAAGCACCTATACTACATAAGTTCTTTTTTTTGCCTCTTAGGTGATACCAGTACAAATAGATCCAAAAGTGTTCGATTCTTATTACAATGGCTGTTGTAACGCAACCTTCTGGCCTTTATTCCACTCTATGCCTGACAGGGCCAGCTTCAAAGGCGAACACTGGAAAAACTACGTGACGGCCAACAAGGAGTTTGCGGAATGCACATTAAAGGCCCTAAGACAACTACCGAAAAATGCGGCAGACGTACCGTTAATATGGGTACACGATTACCATCTTATGTTGGCTGCTAACTGGATTAGACAGGTAATTAGTAATTATTAAGCTTTATTCCGAACCTCGCAATTATATATATATATATATATATATATATATATATATATATATATATATATATATATATATATATATATATATATATATATATATATATATATATATATATATATATATATATATATATATATATATATATAAAATAGCTCTAAAAGCCGAAAAGGCTCATGGCCAGGGTTCGGAAGTAGTTAACTAAGACGTAATTTACCTGATTAACTACGTATAGTTTTTCTTCAAAAACTACGTCTTTTCCCGGTCATTAACTACATGAAAACTACGTTAATAAACTATGTATTGATATTATGAATAATTTTCATTTGTATGAGGTATAATAGAGATACTATGATGTAAATATTATATTTAAGCTTCAACTTATTATAACCTCCCCTCAAACCTTTGACATTTGAAAGTTACATACATAGGTTACATAAACTACACCCTCTACATAAACTACATTAACTACATGTTATGTAGTTTATGTAGTTTTTAAAAGTAACATGTAGTTTTCCGAACCCTGCTCATGGCTTGATTGGTTATCTTTCTCCATTTGTTTCTGTCTTTCGCCTTTTTTCTCCACCCATCCAGTCTTATCCTTCTCAAGTCCTCTTCTACGTCCTTTTTCCATCTGATTCTCGGTCTACCCCTCCTTCTCTTACCACCTATTTCACGTTTCATTATCATACTAGGAATTCTTGCTTCGGCCATTCTTTCAGTGCGTCCCAGCCATCTCAGTCTTTGTACTCTTGCTACTCCCGTTATACGTTATACTCGGTGCCCGATATAGTTGCTTTACTTCTTCATTTGTTCTTCTGGTCCATATGTTGTCTATATCTTCTTTCCTCCAAACCAAACCAAACCTCGCAATTAGTGGTTTCAAATAGCGTAGAAGTTTGTTCTTTAATTTCAATGTAAGCATTCGGAACGTCAAAATTAGTTGTAGACATTTTCAGTTAGTAGAAAAAGTTATCCATAGATAAATGAAACAAGTTTAGATTGGTTAGGACAATGTAAACACTATTTGGCGCTATTCTTGCAACGGTCGCGACCCAAAGCTTTTGATAATTTCGGATCGGTTCGGCTCTTTCCGGAATTATGTCGCCAAATATTATTTATTCAAATTTATTATAATTTTTAATTTAATTTTATAAATAAAATACAGTGTGTTGCATACAAGAAACTTTATTTTATATAAGGACATGTATGTGAAATACCTATGAAACATTGGAAACCAACGTTATGCCGTCTTTTTTCGTTATTTTTCGTTTTTAATGCCACTTTTTTCACAATTATCACGGGTTTTCACAACTCACAAGATAGCAATAATTACTTTGAGAATGGACGCTTTAAACACTTTTCGGTATTTTTTTAATGAGAGCGGTTTAAATTTTGAAAGGTTTTATAATTTTTGAAGATTCTGACTTTGACAAGAGAAAATTATTTCTGTTATTGTTTGGCGGTTGTTCTTAGCAACCGCTATATCAGCGCTAGATCGCGTATAACGGTCGCGACCCAAAACAGTTATATATTTTGACGGGCTTTCCAATCTAAATTTATTTCCTTTATCTATCCAGTTATCATAGTTTTAACTTTTCCACTAATTATACTTGAGAATTTGCGAAAAATGTCATTTTAGTCTTTGATTATCTTTCGTCAAGAGAATAGGTGGTTAGAAATCAAAAATTGATTGTTTTTTTTATAAGCTAAATATTAGGCTTTCTCTATGGATACGACTGACTAACGCAAGCTGTTGCTAGGTTATTCTATTAATTTTAATTGTGTTTTTTAAATATACTGTTAATGATCGTAAACTAAAAAGTATAAAGTGTAATTGAAACCACTAATTGCGAGGTTCTAAATAAAGCTTTATTGTCATAACTAAAGTGTATATAATTTGGTTAGCAATCATTCTATGTTTTACATCATTATTATCTGCCAAATTTGCGTTAAAGATGGAGTATAATACTCTATCCATGGATACAATGCATGGTAGATGGAGGTGGGGACCTAGGGTGGGGATCCTTGACAGTTCTGTTTGACGATTCATTTGACACATTTGAATTTGATTTGAAATTTTGTGCATTTATCAATCTTTACTGAGCTTATTTTATTTTGTTTATTATTTATTCTACAACTGGTGGTTGTTTAGAGGTAGTAAATCTAGAAGGATTTTTTTTTGTGGCAGAACTTATAAAATTAACAGTGATACTATTGTGATTTATCCAAAAAAAAACTGTGAAATTGTTGGTTGTATGGTTGTATAAAATGCGGTAGTTTCGCGTTAAAAATCAGGGAAATAATGGAATAACTATTAACTAGTAAGTGACTATGCCTAGTAAACCGATCATTCATGAAAATCACTTAAAATTACCTAATTATATATTTTTTCTTGCATTTTTCCTTTTATTTACTGCTTGTCAAAGATTAGATTCCAAAGAATTTAGATACGTCAATTTGACTTACCTGCTTCAGTAGCGTATCGGATGTTTGTGTTAATTAGTAATTAAATAATGTTATTTTAACAGAACGTTAACGGTTTTTGTAGACGTATCTGTTTAAAACAAAACTAAAGTGTTCTCGAATAGTTGCATTTAAATAATTTTTCGTCATACTATATTGTTATATTATTATAACATAAGCAAAATCAGAATGGAAAAGATGCATATAACGTCCGCCGGACGTTATCATAACGGCCGGCGGCCGTTAAGTTTCTAAGGTAATCGTAACGTCTGTCACCTGCAACAATGACTATTTATTGTCAGTTGGACTTTTCAAAAATTGGGAAAATAGACCATAGCGAGATGTCGCGAGAAATTCCGTTGGAAATACAGGAGGAAGCGGCTGCGGCTACTCAAAATTATACTTCCGACTATAACCAGAGAGAGATATCAGCAGGAATATGACAATTTTTTGAAGTGGCGGCAGGATAGAAGTATAAACAGCGTAAATGAAGCGGTATTGCTGGCTTATGCTAAAAGAATGTCTGAAATGTATTCTCCTACATCACTGTGGACAAAGATTCCATGCTGAAGCTTGCGTTGAGAGTATATGAAAACATCGACATATCAAAGTAAAAGCCATTATATTCTTCGATATTTAATCATACTCATCTAAATTATATTTGTTCATAGATTTGGTAAACTGTTCATGTTTCTGAGGCGCAAAAACGAAGGTTATTCACAAAAAAGCCAAAGTTCTGTCGGAGAATGACATAAATAATTTTCTACTGGATGCCGATGATTACACCTGGTTACTCGAAAAAATTGTATTGGTGCTTGGTATTCTTGGAGCTTGTAGGCGCAGCGAGCTTTGGTCACTCACAGTTGATGATTTCGAAGATTCGGAGAAAAATATTCTTGTCTCATTAAGAAATACTAAAAATAAGAAAGATAGGAAATTTCTTATTCAAAACGGGCCTTCCGTTTGATGCCTATGGTTTATACAAAAATACATCAACCTGCGTCCTCGTAACTTTGACAATCAAAATTTTTCATTGGTTACAAAGAAAGGCAAGTGTGTTAAGCAAATCGTCGGTATACATACCATCGGGAGCGTACCGCAGAAAATTACAAAATTTTTGAACTTGGAGAATCAGAACGTTATACAGGGCATTCATTTCGTAGATCATCAGCAACCATGCTCGCCGAAAATGGTGGTGATTTACTATCGCTAAAGGAGCTAGGAGGATGGGAGTCTTCAACAGTGGCACAAACTTACATAGAAAAATCAGTTTCCAAAAGAATGAAAATAACAAATCAACTTTTCATGATAGCTCCAAAATAATGTGTCTTTAGTGGATACAAATATTTGCCATTCTTCAGTAGCATCATCTTCTTCTATAAAATCTGTAAATCCCTGGGAAGGATTACAGATTTCTAAGAACAACAAGTGCACTTTTAATTTCCATGTTCATTATCATGAAAAAATGAATTTTAGTATAAGACATTATGTATTTTTTTATCCTTACTTGTGTTATTGTTCAATAAAATTTGTTATTAAATAGTAGTGTTTATTGCTCTAAAAAATCTGCAGTATGACGAAAAATCTAGAACGCAACACGGCCGATAACAAATAACGGCCTTGGCTGCTTATGATCCTCGGCTATCGCCTCGGATCACAAACTTCAGCCCGGCCGTTATTTGTTGTTTATCGGCCTTATTACGTTAATAACTATAAATATTTTTTTTTCTTTTATTTTGAAGATCGGATCTTTTACTATATATTTAATAAGAAAAATTTGATAAGGTTGTTTTTTCCATTCAAAAATTTTAAACAACCCATCCATTTACTTTTAGTGCATAGCAATTTTCAGCAATCGTGTAACTTTTTTATTTATAAAGAATTTCACATACTGTCTACGAAGAAAATATAGCAGCAATGTTAAGAAAGTTTTTTAAAAAACTACAATCAATTATTTTTAATAGATTTTGAGATATCGATTCATAGTTCTAATAGCGCGACCACTGTCGAACACCAACTCAATTCCACTTATTAATTTTTACCAAAAATACAAATGTTTCTAACTTACACTTAGAAATTTTCAAGCTATAAGGAAAATTACAACGACTCGTTAATAAATAAACAAAGTATCGCGAGACGTAATTAAATCGTGAAGCTGAACGCATGATGTACACCTTTCCCTAGAACTTTAAGTACTGACAGAGGTACTGATTGGGTCGACCGGTGGACTGCGACAAATCTGCTATATCCCCTTCCACGTCTCGTAGCAATGTGCCCAATTTCTCGTTTTTTTCGTACGTTTGGCAACGTGTTTACTGTTCTCTCTTTGTTCAGTACATTATAAACGCACTGTACCGTAACCGTAACCGTAATAACAAGGCCGGGCAGCTTATTCGTGACGTCATCAACTGGAGGCCTAAAAACTTTGATTGCATTTGATACACTTTATACGTATATAATGGATATAAACTTCATTGCACCGAATTTTTAATAAATAATAATTAAACATAAAACTTGAAAAACATCAGATTGATATCCCATCTCACATTATCCATCGTCATTGTATTTATTTATGCTGTAGGTGTGTCTAAGTTTCTTTTATTTTCTTTTCCAAGTCTATTATTATTTTTTAACAACAGTAGTTTTTCAGACGTGTATTTCTAATAGAATTTATGACAATTTTTACAATAACTTAGCATTATAAATAGTACATTGCGGAAATTTTAATAATGGTGTATTACTTTTAATGTAATCCAAAGATATTTTTGATAAAAATATTTTTTTATTGTGAATTTTGAGAAACTCCTCATGGCTTTGCAAGACTCTGTTAAAAATTATATATTCAAATAAAACTATATTAGTTATTTCATCTTTTGGAAACCCAAGATTGCCTTTAGTAAGGTTTTTTATAAGGGAATTTTGTTCAATATCAGTGTTGTTTGAAAATGTTAAATTATTTTTAGGGATATTAATGACTTAATCTTAAGTTTCTTTTCGCCTTCATATAAATGTCGAACACAAATACTGTACTGACTCCCGGCTAACCGTCTATATTTTCCAAACCTACTTTTAAGAGGATCAGTTTGCAAGTTCTCTAGTAAAACATACCTCATATTTTACTCATTAAAACAATATTTTATTACTTCAAGCTCAACCTGTTACTCAACTCAAGTTAATAACTTTAATATTGAACACAGATAAAAGTTAGAATTTTTTTTTATTATTTTTATCGCATTTTAAAGAATTTAGTAAATAACAAGCATGACTAATAATTTGATCAGTATTACTATCAGGGTTCGGAAAACTACATGTTACTCTTAAAAACTACATAAACTACATTACATGTAGTTAATCGATGTAGAGGGTGTAGTTTATGTAACTTTCAAATATGGAAGGTTTGAGGTGAGGTAAAAGATAAGTAAAAGCTTTAGAAAATACATATAAATATATTTGAGAAAACAGAAGAAATATAGCTTTAAATATAATATTCGCATCTTATTATTTAAATATTATACCTTTTAGATTGTATAATTGCACACACTTATAATCACTTTATAGTTTAAGCGCCTCTTTTTACAGATTTATAACTTTTTTCACCCTTCTATTATCGATTATAATTACCACGTCCGCACACCTACCGATAAATCGATGATTGTCAACTGCGGCAATACCACTCCGCTACGCGCTACGACAGGCGCCGCGGAGTGGTATTGCCGGTATTGCCGGAGTGGTATTGATATTTCACGCCCCGGAGCAGGGGGCGTGAAATATCAATAAAATACATAATGTATACTATAAAAAATATCTATTTTTTATTATTTTTTTCTCATATTAACACTATTGTGAACTTAAAATATTCCTTTATTATATTTGATTGATAAAAAGTGAGAGATAAATATTTATTGACAGGTATGATTTTTTCCGTATTCTATTAAAATTACTTTTATATACTATAATATTTTTAAAAACTCGGAAAAGACATTTTAAAACTTCGAATCTGGCGAGTGAAAAAATATAATAATTATATATTATAATATATCTGGCGAGTGAAAAAAGATCCACAATTTGAACTTTTATCGGGTAATTGTCAACGCTGCTAAATAGAGTTGGGCCTCCAGTTGGTGACGTCACGATATTTTTACGTCACAGCTGTCCGGCCTTGTTATTACGGTGGTTACGATTGTACTCTTCTTACATACGGAAATCTCGACCCAAGACTAACCTTTGCCAGCCCCTAGTATATTTTTATAAAAATTTTAATAACTACCAACATTTATTGACAACGTAAAATAAAACAACAAATTATTGAGTCTACCCTATCTCATTTTTTCACACGTTTTGAATAAAATTAGAACGGCACTGATAAACCGGAATTTAAGTCGGCCATTTTTGGTCCCCATCGCGATAAGTTTTTTAATATGCTCCTTCCATAATCGTTTTATTCAAAGAGATAATCTAAATAACAAAAAGCAATTCTTTCCAGTTCTCCGAAGATGAAAATATCCCATGCAAGTTAGGATTCTTCCTACACATTCCTTTTCCACCATGGGACATTTTTAGACTATTTCCCTGGTCCGACGAAATCCTACAAGGAATGTTGGCCTGCGACATGGTCGGTTTCCACATCACCGACTACTGTCTCAACTTCGTCGACTGTTGCCAAAGGAACCTGGGTTGCCGTGTGGACAGGAAAAATCTACTGGTCGAACACGGCGGCCGATCCGTCAGAGTCAGACCCTTGCCCATCGGTATACCCTTCGAGAGATTTGTGGAGCTAGCCGAGAAAGCTCCGAAAGTTATTTCGACCAACCAGAAAATCGTTCTCGGCGTGGACAGGTTGGATTACACCAAAGGTTTGGTGCATAGACTCCTAGCCTTTGAAAAACTGTTGGAGAAGCATCCGGAACACTTGGAAAAAGTGTCTTTACTTCAGGTCGCCGTACCCTCAAGAACTGATGTTAAGGAGTACCAGGAATTAAAGGAAGAAATGGATCAACTAGTCGGAAGGATTAATGGTAGATTTACTACACCCAACTGGTCTCCAATTAGGTAAGATCAGCTTCAACTTCTTCTTAACCTTAAATTTTTATTTAGTCGACCTTCATTATTTTTAGATATATTTATGGCTGTATTTCTCAGGACGAACTGGCTGCATTCTACCGAGATTCAGCGGTAGGTTTAGTAACTCCGCTCAGGGACGGCATGAATTTGGTTGCGAAAGAATTCGTTGCCTGTCAAATTAACATACCGCCAGGTGTACTTATAGTTTCCCCTTTTGCCGGTGCGGGCGAAACGATGCACGAAGCGTTGATTTGTAATCCTTACGAAATCGATGACGCTTCCGAAGTGATTCACCGAGCCTTAACAATGCCCGAGGACGAAAGGATTCTCCGGATGAATTATCTCAGAAGGAGAGAGAAACTAAACGATGTAAATTACTGGACGAAGAGCTTCCTAAGTGCGATGGGTTCGTTACAAACGCAAGAAGATTACGATGACATAGGTTCGGTAGCTATGCCAGCCGTTACGCTTGATGATTTTGATGAATATTTGGCTAAGTAAGTTATATTTCGTTCAAGAAGGTTAATTATACAAAAACGGAAAGATGTAGAAACGAAATATTTTATGGGTATACGTGGGGAGACAATGTGCATAATTTAAAATTATCTTAAAATGTACAGGGTGTCAGAACTAAAATCCCTACCAAAGTTATATTTTTTCTTATTGAACACCCGGTATTTTATTTCGTTTTTGGATTCTAAGACATAAAATAAGGCATTTATTATAAGGGTTTAATATGTCTAAAAGCTTTGGTTTTTGAGATATTTAAAGATGCATGCTATAATATAAAAGGTTGTTAACACCCTGTACATTACTTTTCAGAATTAATTCTTGTGCTGACATTTAAGCTAGAGAAATAAACTTTACTAAACAAATACTTAGCTTCCTTAAATGTATACAGGGGTATCAAAAATTGATGGTCTATTTTAAATATTTATTTTAATAAAAACTTCGTTACATCAAATGCAACACTCGGTATGTTTTAAAATAAGTCGAAGCAGTTTTAAATGTTCTTTTAAAATAAGTATATTAGGGTTTCCTATACATATCTGGCTTGCGATTTTTCAATAAAATGGCAATGAAGATGGCTAGTGCCTCCATGACAATTTTCTAGTAACAGTTAGTAGCTCTTTTCAAAATCGACATTCGTTTATGGACTTTATTTAAATTTATAACAGTTTACTTTTACTTAATTTACCTACAATAGTTTAATAAGTAAGTATTTATTATTTTATCAAGAAAAACGAAGCAGTATCTGCTGGCAGAAGGACTGGATATGTTACTAGTGAATTTATTTTGTGAAAAAAATTGCTTGTTGGCCTGAAGGCTGTTTATGCTCAAAGATATCCAAATAGGAATTGTCTTGGTAAGCGTTCCTTTGAAAAACTACTTTTCCTATTTCGCAAAAAAATTATGTATAAGAAAAACCTACTAGGCAGAAACCTGTCGTTGGAAGTGAATAAAATTAATTTACCTTAATTGGCTCTTTTATAGAAAATTCAATATATCTGCTATAACTCATAATATAAATAAAGGAACTACTTCTTGGTTTTCCTTGATAAAATAATAAATACTTATTGTTTATTAAACTATTGTAGGTCTTTTAAATAAAAGAAATCTGCTATGAACTTAAATAAAGTCCATAAACTTATTTAGATTTTGAAAATAGCTATTAACTGTCACTAGAAAAATGCCATGGCGACACCAGCCATCTTGATTGTCATTTTTTTGAAAAATCGCTTTTTATTCAAAATCTGAGACAGATAGGTATAGAAAACCCTAATATAGTTTGAAAGAGCATTTAAATCTAATTCGACTTATTTAAAAAAATACAGAGTGTTACATTTGAAATAACGAAGTTTTTATGTAAAATAAATGTTCAAAATAGACTAGCAGTTTTTGATACCCCTGTATACATTTAAGAAACTAGTCACATTTTTAAGTAAAGTTTATTTCTCTGGCTTCAAAGTCAGCACAAGAATTAATTCTGAAAAGTAATGTACAGGGTGTTAACAACCTCTTTTATTATAGCATGCGTATTTAAATATCTTTAAATATCTCAAAAACTAAAGCTTGTAAACATATTAAACCCTTATAATAAATGTAGTCTTAGAATCCAAAAAATGAAATAAAATACAGGGTGTTTGATTTGACAAACCCTGCACATTTCAATATAATTTTAAATTATGCACATTGCCTTCCCACATATGTATACTCATAAAATATTTTGTTTCTATAACGCCTTTTTTGTATAATTAACCAAGTAGGGTTCCCAACCGTCCCGGTTTAGCCGGGATTAACCAGGAATCAGAAAGTTTGTCCCGGCGAAAGTTTTACCTTGGCCGGGACCTTAAAAATCCCGGAAATTTTTAACTTTTTAATCTTTAACAGTATTTTTACGATATTCAGAAATTTAGGGCAACCGGCAACGCTGCGAACTTTGACGACCGACTGCTCGACTGCCGCGTCGCGTCGCGCATACGCCGTAGTTTAGTTGATTTCTCGAGGTGCGAGGTTGTGTGTGCGAGGTTAAATATTAAATAGTGATAAAATATCGTTAGTGCGCTGCGATTTGCGAAGATTGAGTCTGGCTTATTTTTCTTTTCGGCAATCTCGGCAGTAGGTAAAGAAAAGTTATTTGTAACATTGAGCATTTTGTTTTAATATATACTTAATTTCTGTTTATTAGATTTTATTGATAAAACGTAAAATGGAAGAAAATGAAGCTCCCCATTCGTCTCAACCTCAAAAAAAAGAAAATTAAGCGCTATTGTACGTTCATTCCAGAATGGGAAGATATGTTCGAACATATCAAAAAAGGTAGACGCTGAACATGGGATGTGCAAACTATGTAGTGCCCATTTTACAGTAAAGTTTGAGGGAAAAAGAGCAGTTGAAAATCATTGTAATAGTCAAAAACATAAGAATAATATTCGTGATTTAAAATCAAGTAAGTCATTGCGTACATTTTTTGTAAAAAAGTTTACTAAAGAAGAGGAAGAAGTTACCCTTATTGAAATAGTGAACACATACCATTCAGTTAGGCATCAAATAAGTTACAATGCTCAGGATTGTCATAACAAGTTGCTGCCCAAGTTAATCACTGATTCTAAAATTTTGCTCAAGATTTCTTGTGGAAGAACAAAAGCTGCGAGTATCGTGGAAGGTGTTTTAGCTCCAAAATCTCAAGAATGCTTACTAGATAATTTAAAAAAGTCGATTTACTATTCCGTGGCGTCCGATGCGTCAAATAGGAGAAATATAAAACTATTTCCGCTATGTGTACAATTTTTTTCTAGAAGTGGAGGAATTGTTCGGGGAGTTTTAGATTTCTATGAGGACTCAGATGAAACTAGCGAAGCTATTGCCAACCAAATTATTGAAAAATTACAAAATAATAATCTAAATCTTGAACATGTTACTAGCTATAGTGGAGATAATGCATCTGTCAATTTCGGTGTTCGCTGTTCAGTATTTCAAAAATTGAAGGCAATTAACAGTAAGCTAATTGCCAGTAATTGTAAATGTCACATTTTACATAACACAATAAAGTTTGCCAGCAAAGGATTAAATTTTGATATTGAAAGTTTTGTTATAAAATTATATAACGAATTTTCAAGTTCTGCCAAACGTGTACAAGCTCTAAAAAGTTTTTTTGAATTTGTAGAATTAGAATATAAGGATTTGTTAAGACATGTTGCAACTAGATGGCTATCTTTATTGCCAGCAATAGATAGGCTATTGTTAAACTGGCCAGCACTTAAATCATATTTCTTATCTGAAGGAGAAGAAAACTGTTCCAAAATAATTTGGGAAGTATTTAATGAAGATGACGAGGAATCGTTAGTTCTTGCACTACTTTATTTTGTTCAAAATATATTGGTAATATTTCAAAACATCATACTGAAATTAGAACATAATGAAACCACTGTAATAGAATTACATTCACTAATGAATAATTTAAAAGTTAATTTGGGGCAAAGACTATCCGACAAATTTTATGGTAATTCTGCCAACCGAATGATTAGAAAAATGACAGATAGTAAAAGGTTGCAATTTGAAAGACAGGCAGTATGCTTTTTGAACAGGTGTTTAAATTATTTGACAAAATGGTATGATTTTAATAATGATTTTCTTGCAAGTTTGGCGTGTTTAGATTTGAAAAATAATAAGCTAGATTGGCAGAAAATACAATTGCTTCTTGATCTAATGGAAATAGATCAAGACGAGTTATATAATGACTATATATTAGTTAATAATATTATTGAAAATCTCGAATCTTTTTCTGAAAAAAATGTAATGGAAAAGTGGGTTCAGATTTTTAGTGCTGATGTTGCCAGTGATAACTTAAATGAAATGTTTAAATTAGTTTCCTACATAATGTCGATTCCTGTCGGCAATGCTTTTTGCGAACGTGTTTTCAGCATTATGGAAGCATTGTGGACCAAGGAAAGAAATCGATTGAGTATATCTCAGGTAAAATCAGAAATACAAGTAAGACTAAATTTTAATTTAAAGTGTGAGGACTTTTTGGCTCTAGTTAAATCAGATCAAAAACTGCTTCATGCTGCACGATCTCAACAAAAATATAGATTTAAGTAGCAATGAAAAGTAAAAAGCGTTTATTTTGTGGTTTAATTGTTATTTTTGCCAATAATATTTATTAGTTTTTTAAGTAGGTACTTACTTACCATTCACCTACACTTCCTAATTACCAAAGTTATCTATATGTTATGTTTTATGTTTATAATTCTATGTTATATTTTTTCCTACTTATCTATGTTATGTTTCATGTTTAAAAATAAAAAATTCTAATATTTACTGTTTTGTTTGAATTATTTAAAAGCTTAAAGCTAATTGTCCCGGAATCGCCGATGCTCAATTTGGGAACCCTATAACCAAGGCGAATGAGGTGCGCCACTCTGTATGTTTATATTACAAAATACTCCTACTTTTAGGTATATTGGAAACACACTTAAATTAGCTTTGCTGTTAGATTATGACGGTACTTTAGCACCTATAGCTCCGCATCCCGATCTAGCCATTATTCCGAGTGAAACAAAGAAGGTGTTGGAGAGGCTTTCCAATTTGTCCGATGTGTACATTGCTATTGTGAGCGGACGGAATGTTGATAATGTGAAGGAAATGGTAAGAACCAGCAGCGGAACCCTCTACAGGGTGGTCCGAATTGTATTCCGGAAACTTCGGCAGCATATTCTGCCCATAAAAATAAGTAATGAAGTTCGTATAAATGTATGTCCTAAAATACCTAGTTTCGGAGATATAGGGTGTAGAAGTTTCATTTTTATCTGCAGAATATGCTGCCGAAGTTTCCGAAATACAGTTCGGATCACCCTGTATAGGGTGGCGTCTCTCATACGCCGCGGAAGCTCCGAGGAGAACGGTAGTTTATATGGAAATGAAATTTTGGCAGCATATGTAGGTTAACTGAAAGCATTTTATAAAAATATATAGAATCATACAGGGTGTCCCGAAAAAAAGTTACACATCAAAGTTGTGTTTTTTCTAATGGAACACCCTATATATTAATTGATTTTCGCATTCTAGGAAAAAAATAAAGGTGATTTTTATTGAAGAAGCATATACCTAAAATCTAAGGTTTTTGACATATTTCACATTTTGTGAAAATGAAGAGTAAATTTTAAATTTTGACAACAGCTACCTAAATTTTAGATGGCCTTGTATAGCCTGATATTTAATTATAGTAACCAATGTATATTAAACCATATTGAAATTTGACCCGAAAAGTTATACAGGGTGAGACAAAATTAATATGGAACATTAGTCACTTATAAAAGCAAATTACTCATTTATTTTAAATGGAACATCCAGTATATTTTTCCGGTATTCAATGGGGAATTTATATATCTTCAAAATATTGTTAAGGTTGCCTACCCCTCATACAAAGATTTTCTTAGATATTTTAATTTTGATGATTTTGCGTCACTACATCTTTATTATTTGATAAAATCTAGGTGGCTGTGTGATATACCTTTTGTTAATTTAACGAAAATTAAAGATTGTAGAGTAAAATACTCAACGGTAATTAAAAGATACATATTTAAAACATATTTTAATTATTACAGAATTAAAAATAGATATAAACCTATAATAATTTATGTGACAAAAATTAGCTAGATGAAATCAAATGCTCAAAATGCTTCCTTTCCTGTTAACTGCATAAAATGATTGTCTTTTCAAAAGGATCTTTCCATTTTAAAAGGCATTATGTGGAATTCTACCTCGAAAAGCAGCTACAATAATTTCTCTCATGTTGTCGACAATAGTTGGTCGAGTTTTGAACACTGTCTTTAACATATCCCCATAAAAAACCCAGACTAGATAAAATCAGGAGCATTTAAGTATTCTATTAATTGCTGAATGCACACTGCATTCACCAACTAATATAATCATATTAATTCTCTCTGCTGTAGGATAAGTCTGCATTCTCGGCAAATTTCTGAGAATTTTTTTTGTTTTAACTGACACAAAATGATAACTAGTTGTTAAAGTTGGATTAATTAGACAGCTATGTTGAAGTAACGTCAGACATATGACAGCCACCTAGATTTTATCAAATAATAAAGATCTACTCAGATCAAATCATGTAAATGAAAATATCTAGGAAAATCTTTGTTTGAGGGGTAGGAAACCTTAATAGTGTTTTGAGGAGACATGAATTCTCCATTGAATATCGGAATAATATACTGGGTGTTCCATTTAAAATAAAAGAGTAACATGCTTTTAAAGGTGACCAATGTTAAATATTAATTTTGTCTCACCCTGTATAACTTTTTGGATCAAGTTTTAATTTGATTTAAAGTGCAATAGTTAATTTAACTACGTATTAGGCTATACCGGGTGAATTCCAATTTAGGTAGCTTTTATTGTAATTTAAAATTTGTTCTTTATTTCTAGAAAATGTTAAATATATCAAAAACTTTACATTTTAGTCATATACTTCTCTTATAAAACTCATCTTTATTTTTCTCCTAGAATTCGAAAATAAATTAATATATAGAGTGTTTCATTACAAAAAACGTCACTTTGATATGTAACTTTTTTTGGGGACACCCTGTAGAACTCTCTATATTTTTAAAAAGTGCTCTGGATTAACCTACTTATGCCCACAAAATTTAATTTCAATACAAGCTGTCGTTCTCTTTGGAGCCTCCGCGGCGTATGACTGGCGTCACCCTGTATATTCGAACCAAATCAAATTAATGACTTGATTTAGGTTGGAATAGAAGGCATCACGTACGCGGGTAATCACGGTCTCGAAATTTTACATCCAGATGGAACTAGATTCGTTCATCCCATGCCCACTGAATTTCATACAAAAGTGGCTGAATTGATGAGGCAGTTACAAGAAACGGTTTGCAGGGACGGCGCCTGGGTCGAAAACAAAGGGGCCCTTCTTACTTTCCACTTTAGGGAAACTCCCCATCACCTAAGGTAAGATTATTATTTTTTGTTCAGCGATCGCGTTCAACGTTAAGGTACATCCATAGTGCACCGGCCTTCCGCTTTATCGCAAAAGTTGTTTTATCGCAAAATTTGACTTTTTTGAAGAGGCGTTAAAGTTGTACTTTTGTGTAGAATTGCGTTTCATTTGCAATAGTTATTTAAAATTAATATGTTACTTTACAATTAAAAAAAATTGGTCAAGTACGAGTCGGACTCGCGCACGAAGGGTTCCGTACCATTCATTATCTTCAACATTAGACACTATTATTATAAACTTTTTTTCCGATTTAGCTGAAATTTTGAATGCGCGTATAAGTAATTTAAAAAAAAATGAAGAAACACATTACTAAAAATTGTATTAATCAATAATAAATATGTAAAAAGTAAAAATAAATATATAAAAATATGTAAAATTAAAAAAAAAACGATTAAAAAAAAGTCGCCTTGACTAGGGTTCGAACCTGCCTTACTACGGCTCCAACGTCATAGCAGCGTAAAGTCCTACCGCTTTAACCACGCGGCCACCGAGGACTTGAAAGATTCTATGTAAAATTCTTACTTAAAAGATAATGTTTAGTGAAAGTACTTTTTTATTTATAAACATTTATTTAATTCTGTTTTTAATATTTGTTCTTATAGTCAGTGGCGGATACAGATGGGGGGCCCATGGGGCCTCGGCCCTCCCTAAAATCTGTGAATTGGGTTAAATATTTGGCTTTTGGGTTAAAAATGGCACCCTAAAAAGCATATTCTACATTAATTTTTTATTTGGCCCCCCCTAAAATAAATTCCTGTATCCGCCCCTGCTTATAGCGGCAACCTAGATACATGTTCTGTGAAAATATCAACTGTCTAGCTATAACGGTTCATAAGATAGACCTTTGTGACAGACGGACGGACAGTGAAGTCTTAGTAATAGGGTTTCCGTTAGTACCCCTTGGGTACGGAACCCTAAAAATGTAAATTTAAAAAACGTACCTATTAAGGGTATACCTACACTTCTTTTATGATGAGTAAAATGAAAATGTTTGTATCATTCTTAGGGCTAATCTAGAAGAACAAGCTCGAAAAATGATTGAAGATGCCGGCTTTACAGTGGGTAAAGCGCATTGTGCCATAGAGGCAAAACCGCCCGTGCAGTGGAACAAAGGAAGGGCGTCCATTTACATTTTAAGAACTGCCTTCGGAGTCGACTGGAGCGAAAGGATTAGAATTATTTATGTTGGAGATGATGCTACTGATGAAGATGCAATGACGGTAAACTGATTTTTTTTATTTTAATGAGCTGTCATTAATTTTTTGGTTTCTTTATTTAGGCATTAAAGGGTATGGCAGCCACTTTCAGGGTTACCTCGTCTCACATCATCAAAACCTCGGCCGAACGCCGTCTCCCCTCTACTGATTCAGTACTTACGATGTTGAGATGGGTGGAAAGGCACCTAAGTAGGAGGAAACCATCTTTAGATCCAAATAGTTACAGAAGAAATTCTCTAGCCAAAGCAGCTTCCTCGGCAGTTCAAATAGAAATGTCTATGCATGTTAGTATAACGCTAATTTATCAATTATTTACAGACTTACAACCAAACAACACAACGAGATCTATCGCTTAAAAATATTTTCAATATGGCGGCACTTCTGGAAAGATGAATTTTCTGGATCATAACACTCTATACTTAACATTAACCGTTTTTGGGAAAAAAATATTTAAAATTTTTGGACGAAAAAAACTGCCTGTCCAAAAAATGTGTATAGCCTAAACGTCAAATTTGGTGATTACCATAACCACTGTGCCATAATGAGAAGACATGTGGCTATCTATTTCAAAAATTGAATTGTTCGAATGTCATATAATAATGGTCGTAGCTGTCATGGAAATGAGCTATTAAAAAATTATCATAAATATTTTTTTTTCATATGGAAACCTACCTTTTTTATTTCACTAATGAAAAGGTTTTTTCAATTCCTTACTTTTTGCCTATACATGTTCCTATACCTAAAATAAATAGTTTTTAAGTTATTTAGGATTTAGTTTTAAAGGGTATATTTTTTCTTGTTTTAACCACTAGCCTAACGTCAAGTGATGTAAACAATATAGTCTAAGAGCTAGCAACGTTTTCGAGAAAGTATTTTAAGACGTCTGGCTCTTTGATATATCTTTTACTATGCTCTCTGGAACAGCATGCGGCCCGTCTGGCTGCCGATACCCGTTGCGTTTACTACTGAGCATCGAAAGATCCTATATTTTTTATTAATGTAGTCCTATAAATTCTAGTATTGAATATAAATCGAACATGTCTCCATAGCGCTTTTTTCGACGAGTTTCCGACCACGAACCGATGATTTAGAGTTCGAATCCGGGTCAGGTCAAAGACTTTTATTTTATTTTCGTTTATATTCTGAGAAAGAGCCAGACGTCTTAAAATACTTGTTTTACCGACGTTGCTAGCTCTCGTACTAATACAACTGGCCATAACATATTGTGATGGAGTATGTCATCGATCATTTCCAAACCAACTTTGCAGTTTCTTTTCGACCATACGGTATATTATTAATAATATCAACTGTTAGATATCACTAAAGTACGAAAATACGAGATATATTTTTTATAACTAGACTTTTTAAACTCTTAAGCAGCAGTATTTATAATATAGGAAATTCAAACAATTAGTTTTCTGACAGATGGAAATAAATTGTCTGATTGATTGACACTTACAGCGTCTTCAGATGGAGCGAAGCATCCGCGACGGACCGTCCGTGACTTCTACCAAGTACCATGAGTTTATATGAACGATTTCATATGGGTCGCGTATGCTCCGTCCGGATGAACTATATTGAAAAATCATCCGCGCGTACGGTCCGCTCCATCTGAAAGCTCTATTAATGCCAAAGGAAGCTAGATAAAATCAAGAAAAATATACGTTTTAAAACTTAATCTTAAATAAATTAAAAACGATTTATTTTAGTTATAGGAATATGTACAGGGTGGCTCGAATTTGACGCTCATCATTGGGATTTCGGAAACCGTAAGAAATACAGGATCTGTTAAATGGAGGCAAAGTTGCGCAATTTGATGCTCAAGAAAATGCCGTATTGCATTTTGAAAAATTCCAAATACTTCCGAATATATTCGAAAAAAAAAGGAATTTTCAATTTTGTTTTCTATTGTTTCTTGGCTTTATTTCTTAAGATAAGTTAAAATGAAAAAAACACATTTTCGTGGCTACTTTTTCTGCTCTATAACTCTGTGTGATTAAATATTGACTCTGACGTTTCGGCTTCTGGCGACCATCATCAACTTAATTTTTTAAATACGGACCCGATTTTTATTTCAATATAATTAAATCCTTTTATCACTCTTACTTAAAACACTATATATAGTCACTTTGATATTTGCCGACGTTTCGTACAGAAAATTCCATCACCAGAATATTTTATGCAAAAAAAATAAAAAATAAAAATGCAATACGGCATTTTATTGACCATCAAATTGCGCAACTTTGCCTCCATTTAACCGATCCTGTATCTCTTACGGTTTCCGAAATCCCAATGATGAGCCTCGAATTCGAGCCACCCTGTACAGTCAAAAAGTAACGAATTGAAAAAGCTTTTCACTACTAGTGAAATAAAAAAAAGTGGGTTCCCATTTGAAAAAAATGATTTATGATAATTTTTAATCGCTCAATTCCACAGTCCACAGTCACAGTGACTGTGGTAATCACTATATTTGTTATCTACAACTAAGTCAACACAAAATTAAGACGCGCTTTGATACAAAGATAAAAAACCCTAATATTTATCTCATTCTTAGAAATAGATACTCATAACTTTATATCGTTGGAAAGGGTTAAACGTCATCATTTTTTGAAGTTCATAGCCAACTATAATTTCTATTTAAAAAATTATATTTTTATTATTTCTGGCAAAAAGAGCAAACATAGAAAAACTAACTAGGCCACGGCGTTGTGCTTAAAAAAGTGCCTTAAGAACGTTTTTACAGAATTTTATTATTCCGCGAAATAAAAAAATTATGGTCAATTTTCAAAATGGTAAAAAAATCAAAAAGACCCCGTATCTCAGTTGGCAGTGAAAATATCAACAGGCGGTTTACGCCATTAAACATGTCTGAGAAATCGAGCCCATGACATACATGTCGGTTTTACTCTATCTAGTCAGAAAATATGGTTTCTCGGTTAAGACCAATTTGGACCATCCTGTACACCCTGTATACCGGGTGGTGCATCGTTTTGTATGAATCAATGGTCATGAAGAATACTTTTATTTTGCAGGTTCCATCAGCATCCAACAGTCCTCCATCACCAACAAAGTCCAGTAAAACGTTGGTTCCCCCACCCGAATCAAATAACATTTCCCATTAGGTATTAAGTGTTTTTTTTGTGATATACTAGATATTTTAGTAAGTAATATTATTTCGATTATACAAAAAACATATTTGATGGACTGCATATAATCTAATGTTATTGGAATGTGTATATCAATAAACCAGTATTGACACACTCTTTGTTATTGGTGACATTTTTTTTTGTTAAATTTGTTGGTGAATTTTATAGAAAAAATATTAGTCCATTAAAATATGTACCGTATGATCGAAAAAAAACGGCGTCCAGTTGGCTGGGAAATGACGATCAATGACATTTCCCATATAAATTTACATATAAAATGACAGCGATCTTCATTTCATAGCCATCGTTGACGCCGTTTTTTCTCGATCATACGGTATAATTTTCACTCATTTTTTTCAGTGACACCCACACAAATTTTCTGTAACTTTTTGTTATTATTGTATATATAAAAATCAATGTACTTATAGGAATAGCTTTTACAAAAATATTTTTTCAATACCTAAACCTATAAATGTGTAGACTGATATAAAAATATATTGTGTTTTGACACTGAAATAATTATACTAAAACAACATATTTATTTTTATAGTACGGAATATTTTATAAGTCTTTGGAGTAAATATAAGTTTTGTTTTCTACAGATTGTACCAAATTAATAGATACTATGCCTATTTTTTCATTTATAAAATAAAACTGCAAGCAAATTTTCAGGGTTATTCTCGTTTACTTTTTTTTGTATTTATAAAAATAAAGTTTCTTATATATTGTTGTCTGTAAATATGGTTTTATTTGTAGATAACACAGAACTTAATTTTTTATGATTTAAATCATTATAATGACTTAAGTCATTTTCAAAATGATTTGTTATTTAAGTCTTTATTGCGAAATTTAAAAAGATTTAAGTCATTTTAGAAAAGATTATGTCAGAGTTTTTCATATATTTTTATGATAAGTTTTTAAAAGCGGCATTTCTTTTTGTATTCCTGGTAGCAGACAGTAGCAAATCAAAAACACCGATACTGGCTTCCGTCATAGTAAATAAATGTCGTGTGTACTTTTAAATGTATTTTTTTGCGTTGTTTATGAAAATAAGTACGGGTCATGTAGAATGTAGAATGAGAAAGGGGGGAGGTTAATCACTGCGACCGTAAAGATCTATTGTGTGCCCCCCTTCCTTGAGTCATCACACAATCTATATCTATAACCCATCATATCCTTGTAGAGGGGACAGGGTATTTCCCATCCTCTTCTGACAACAGTTCTTCCTCCGAGGGTACACACCCTTCCACGGTTGGAGTTTGGCCCCCCGTGCCTCCCTCTCTTTCCCTTTGATGGAGATGAGTCAGGTTGTTTCTTGGTTTCTTTACTCTTCCCTTTTCGGAGTAGTGTTTTTGCTTTTGCTTCCTCTTGAGCAAGTCCTTCGTGGAGCAGTCGGAGGTATCTCCGTGCTTCTGCTCCGCTAAGACCTACTCTCAGAGGATCGCCTAACCCGCCTGGTTGACCCAGGCCGGGTAGACAAAACGGTAGCTTATGTCGCTTATTGGGTCTAGAGGTAGGCTCCCGACCCTTGCTGGAGAAGGTTGTAGCCTTGTTTATAAGTAAGGGTGGTAGCTTGTGTGCCACTTGTAGAGAATGATCCCAAGCAAGTGTCAGCCGCCCCTCCTGTAGTTTCTTTCGGATTTGGTCCTTTGGAACTTTCATTTGTGATGTTCCCAGTGTCGCTAGGGGGCTTCCCCACAGCTTCACCGGTGGTGTTTTTAATGCCAGATCTCATAGTGTTCCCACGAGTCGCTAGGGATAGTCGTTCCACTTCTACAGAGCCCCGCATGCAGAAGTAAGGGGTAAATACAATGGGGTGCCCCCTGATGCCCCAAGGTTGAGGCCAGTAATGGCTAGTCCTCTATCTAGCCACGCATCCCCTTTGACCTGGTCCCGCCATCATCGTACGATTTAGGTTTTTGGTGAGGTTGTCTCCTCTTGGTCCAGGCGGTTAAGCCAAGACCCCCCCCCACACCCTCTACCCACGAGACATAACCACAGTCAATAGAGGGTGCCTGGTATGACGGACAGGGATGGCCCCGTCCGGCATCGTTATATGCCTTGGTGCAATTCCCTGGCCACGACACTACAGCCTGGAGTGATAATACAAGACGAGGAGTGAGATGCTTGTTAGACCAAATCAAGCGCTAGGGGTGATTCCCCCATCACCTGACCAGGCGCTTCCCCACCAACGACAAGGTCTTCCTAGGGGAAGAAGTACGGGTCATATTTAAAGAATGACAGCCCCCCAGTTACGCCACTGAGTTCTACATGGAAAACTCTATGGAACTCGGTTTAACAATTTCAAATTCACCCTGTATTTCAGGAACTAAGAGGGCTAGCACAAATCTGGGTGGACAATCTTTAGTTTCATACAAAAGCAGTAATGTAAAAACCGCATCTTTGTAGATCTGCTCATAAACGAGAAACACTGTAAAACACACAAAAATGTGACACCCTGTAGAAAATACCACAAAATTATATTTTATATAAGTTGTTTTTTTTTTATTATTTGTAGTTATTCTGAAAATAAATCGTTTTATTTTAAGTGGTTTAATTTATTCTTATGTACATACAACAAATTAATATACAGGGTGTCCAGAAATAAGTAAGTGCAAGTATTTTAAAGGGTGGTAGATCGTTAGGGTAGATCTGGTCAAAAAATAAACATTTTTTCTCTTTACCGTTTTTCAAATAAGTCCAAAATAACCGAGTTATTTTATAATAGAACTAGAAAATTTCCAAAAAAATGATTTTTTGCTAAAATTTTGAGAACCACTGGATTTTTTCTGGATTTTCTATTTAAACTACTACCTATGGTGCCTCCATATGGCGCGGAACAGTTCTGAACTTTATGACTCAAATGAATGGAGCGAGAGTATCGCGTTCTTGAACAGTTCAGGACTGCACAACTGCGTGAATGGAGGACAGTACATTCGCGAATTTCAAGTTTCAGAGCTTTACGCCCTGGGCTACTCAGAACGGGTCTGAAAGGAGCTGTGCGCGATAGCCCGGTGCCTCCATATGGCGAGGAACAGTTCTGAACTTTATGACTCAATTGAATATAGTGAGAGTATCGCGTTCTTGAACAGTTCAGAGCTGCACAACTGCGTGAATGGAGGACGGTACATTCGCGAATTTCAAGTTCCAGAGTTTTACGCCGTGGGCTACTCAGAACGGTTCTGAAAGGAGCTGTGCAAGATAGCCTGGTGCCTCCATAAGGCGCGGAACAGTTCTGAACTTTATGGCTCAATTGAATATAGTGAGAGTATCGCGTTCTTGAACAATTCGGAGCTGCACAACTGCGTGAATGGAGGACAGTACATTCGCGAATTTCAAGTTTCAGAGCTCTACGCCCTGGGCTACTCAGAACGGGTCTGAAAAGAGCTGTGCGCGATAGCCTGGTGCCTCCATATGGCGCGGAACAGTTCTGAACTTTATCACTCAATTGAATGGAGTAAGAGTATCGCGCGTTCTTGAACAGTTCAGAGCTGCACAACTGCGTGAATGGAGGACAGTAAATGGGCCCAACTACAAAGAAAGTAGGTATCTAAATATGTAAGGGAGACTACACCATAAATGGAAATGGTTGAATAAGCTGAAAATGATGTTGATGATGAAATTGAATTCTGGTTGTCTTGACTTGGGGGTAATTATATTGATTTAAGTTATTTTTACTGCAAGATAAAACACTAAATCACCACAATACACCAAAACACTTTTACTTTTACACTGGACACGTATTTCGCTAACCATGTTAGCATCATCAGCAGATGATTATAAACTAAATTAGATTATAAACTAGTTTGACTAAATTAGATTATAAACTAGTTTTATAATCATCTGCTGATGATGCTAACATGGTTAGCGAAACGCGCGTCCAGTGTAAAAGTAAAAGTGTTTTGGTGTATTGTGGTGATTTAGTGTTTTATTTTGCTGTGTAACACCAAAGGTTCCAACCCTCAACTGTAATCTATTTTTACTGACTTAAAACTTGCAGATAATCATGATTTAAGTCGAAAGTATAGACTTGGTATAGACATAAATCATAAAAACGACTGAAATAACGTTAAATCGATTTAAGTTTTTAAGATTAAAGTTTAATCATTGGAACTTTATGTTTCTTGTATTTTTTTTTATTAAAAATTTTTATTTTGGAATTTTCCACTCTGAGTTCTGAGTTCCCTCCTCTATCTGTTAAAGGTCTGTTCTTTGGTCTGTTATGTAACGATAACCTTCAAGCAGCTGATTGTCAAGTTGAAATTCAGATTTTCGTATGTGTGTTTATCTCTGGATTTTAGTCTGTGATTTTAGTTTATTTTTGACTTTGAAAGTAGATGTTTCGTTCCATAGCAATTAGTTTGAGATAATTTTTAAACATGACATCAAAAGGTAGGATTAGATTTTATGTTTTTACCGTGATATTATTTATAAATTGGATTACAGATTCGTGTAATTGCAAGCGAGTTTTCGATGATTATCAAGATTATTTAACTCAGTAAGTAAACCGTTGATATACTATGATTCTTATATTTAAGATAACTCCAAAATCCTTTTACTACTTTATTTAAAATCTTACTTTTTCAATATTTTCTTGTACAATATATTGAAGATTTTTATTAACAGGGATCCTTTTAAATTAAAAATTGCTTTTTATCTCCTTTTATCAGTCAAAATAGAATTTGTTTATGTAAATAATTTTGGATAAATTTAGTTATTTAATTTATTATAAAAAATAAGTTATTATTTTTGCTCTACATTTTTTGTTTCAATTTTATTCTGCTTTTTTATTAATTTTAACTATATCACAATAAGTAGGAACAAATCAGATATATATAACAAGTGGCTTAATCTTAAGGCCTCCATACACTTCTGTTATTTTTTCCGGTTTTGCGTGCAATTAAAACGCACAATGAAGTGGCAAGCAGTGTTGCCAGAATTTTTCGAGCGAATTTCTTCAACCGAGCTTTAAAAAACCTTCCATATTCCTTCGACTTCACAAAAAAAATCAGGTCTCGTGAAAATCACCAAATTTCGTGTATTTTATCTATTTCAAATTAGGAGAAAATTTTTAAAAACTTATTTCTGGTAATTTTTAGGCACTGATGTATTTAAATAAACTTTTTATTAAAAAAATAACACGATTAAAAATGCTGTGATAGATACTCAACAGTACTATTATAAAGTATGTTTCAAAAAATTAATTGCTTAAAATGGCTGCTTGAATCGATTATAATAAAAGCAATCGTGCAAGACGCCATGACCAGCTGACTGATTAGATATGTTTTCCGTTTACCTATTTATTTCTTTTCAACACCAAGAATTTTGGTTTAGTTATGGTATATGTGTAATATAGGGTGTCCGTTATTTCCCAAGTTGATTTTTTTTTTCGCTGCCGTCCACTGAAAATTTAGTTTTTTTCTCTGAAAAAAATTATCCAACGTAAACAAGCTCTTAATTTTTAATTTAAACCGTGCCGGAATCATGATACTTTTCCCATTTAAATAACATGGGATTTTATGACCTTTTGCATTTAATTTTTTATCTCCAAAGCAAATAAACCTAATACAGCTTCGACAAAGAAACAAATACAAAATTTTACGCTGTACAAAAAAGGTCTCTTTGATTTTTTCCATAAAAACATTCCTTTAAAAGTTATTCGCGGTCAAAGTTAGACACATAGTTCATAATCAAATTTTTCTATCATTCACTCCAAATTCTAATTGCGCCTTTTGATTTTGACTAAAAAGGGATCTAGAGCCATACTTTTTTCAATAAACCAATATTTCTTTACCAACTTTAATATGGAAAACCTTTGTAGAAAACCAATATTGCGCCATCTATTGTGATCAATTGATCATAACTATAATTTAAGGTTGTTATTTCATTGCCTTTCAGTGTTCGTAAATATGTGTGTCAATTGAAAAGAACGAACAAATTTTGAGTGGTTTTTATCTTAAATATTACTTGTTTCGAATTAATTAAATTAATTGATTAAATTTAAGTATATTATAATAATAACTTTGAATTTGATTATAAACTTGTGCGTAACTTTAACCGCGAATAACTTTTAAAGGAATGTTTTTTATGGAAAAATCCAAAGAGATCTTTTTCGTAGAGCGTAAAATTTTGTATTAGAATATGTCTTTGTCGAAGCTGTAGGTTCATTTGCTTTGGAGATAAAAAAATAAATGCTTTTGCAGACCTTTTGGTCAGAAAATCCCATGTTATTTAAATGGGAAAAGTATCATGATTCCGGCACGGTTTAAATTAAAAATTAAGAGCTTGTTTACGGTGGATAATTTTTTTTAAAGCAAAAACAAAAATTTCAGAGGGCGGCAGCGAAAAAAATATCAACTTGGGAAATAACGGAACCCTCTAATAGTCTAAGAGCTAGCAACAAGTTATAGTACGAGAGCTAGCAACGTCGGAAAATCAAGTATTTTAAGATGTGATATATCTTGATATCTCTCTTTGATATATCTTTTACTATGCTCTCTGGAACAGCATGCGGCCCGTCTGGCTGCCGATACCCGTTGTGTTCACTACTACGCATCGGAAGAAGATCCTATATTTTTTTTAATTTAGTCCTATAATTTCTAGCATTGAATATAAATCGAACATGTCTCCATAGCGCAGTGCGTAGAGTTTCCGACCACGAACTGATGATTCAGAGTTCGAATCCGGGTCAGGGCAAAGACTTTTTTATTTTGTTTTGGTTTATATCTATTCTGATAGTAAAGTATTAAATAATTCTGGTGATTCAAAAAAAAACAAATATTTAATACTTTACTATCAGAATACAAACGAAAATAAAATAAAAAATCTTTGCCCTGACCCGGATTCGAACTCTGAATCATCGGTTCGTGGTCGGAAACTCTACGCACTGCGCTATGGAGATATGTTCGATTTATATTTAATACTTAATTTATTTTAAAGAACTAACTCTTTAAAAAAATTTGAAGGACTAATAAAAATATAGGATCTTCTTTCAATGCGCAGTAGGGAACGCAACGTTTACCGGCAGCTAGACGGGCCGCATGCTGTTCTAGAGAGCATAGTAAAAGATATATCAAAGAGCCAGACGTCTTAAAATACTTGTTTTTCCGACGTTGCTAGCTCTCGTACTATAATGTGTAATAGACGCGTTGAAAGATAAAAATGCATCTATTAATTTTTCGTTAAATTGCGGACCTTTTGGACAATATTGCTTTAAACTGAGGCATCCTTAATTAAAACACCGTTAAAGTGAAAAAATAGATTTAGGAAAAACCGAGGGGTGTCTCACTCGGGTAAAAAATGTACAAGTACTGCCAAAATATCCTTCCACTGCTAAGCGACTGCCAATGACTATGAAGAAGACTGCCTATGACTGCCATGTAATTATTATAGGCGACTGCCATAAGACTGCCAGCGACTGCCAAGAAAATGTACAGGTAATTCCAATAGTGAGACACTCCTCGGGAAAAACAATAAATACTCCTACTACATATTTAAACAATTTTTATTGTGCAAAATTGCCAGAAACCTTCATATAATTGAACAGTCAACTAACTGAAAAGTATTAAAAGAAAAAAAAATGTTTGGATGTTTTGACGAATCTTTTTTTTTTTAGGTATTTGAAAGATGCAAAGGAATTAGCTCTGCTACTTGATTATGATGGAACCCTTACACCTATAGTTGCGCATCCTGATTTAGCAACGATACCGCCCGAAACAAAAACTGTTCTGCAAGATCTGTCTAAAATTCCTAATATTTTTATAGCGGTGGTTTCTGGAAGGAACGTGCAAAATGTCAAAGAAAAGGTTTGTGATCTGTTATACAGGATGTCCCAGAAATCAGTACAAGTATTTTAAGGGGAGGTAGATCTGGCCAAAAGAAACATATTTTCCCTTTATAAAATAAATTGATAATAATCGAGTTATTTAACTTGCATCATCGTTGTGTATATACACAGTATACAGGGAGTTTTTCGATTTATTCTAATTTCCCTCCAAGTACTTTTAGTGTTTCGAAGAAACTTTTGAGGATAAAAGTTACTATAAATACGACATATTTTAAAGCTAAAAAAGTGTCGACATATTTACCAGGGACGTGCAAATGGGTTATCACTCGAATATTTTTCTAAAAATAGCATTTACGCCACTGACTTTTTTTTCTCTTGTTAACGAAATAGTGTAAGCAGTTTAATGCCGATTAAAAGTTCTATCTTGATATTTTGTCGATTTCGACCTCCTTGATGAGATATGAATTTTATTAATTTGCTTTAATCCAAGTCTAATAGCAACCTTAAAAAAAAAATAATATCATTAATTTGCGAGAGTTGTAAATAAGTACTCATTGATTTCTCATCAAAAAATATAAAAAAAGTTCCTATAAATATTAGTTTTAGAGTTACAGGATGTTAAAACTTTTTAAAATCAGGTTTTTTGTAAATATCTTAAATACCATTATTTTTTTATTTGAAATTGCTGTAGGTTGGACTAATAGAAATAATAACTAATAGTAATAATATTTAATAATAAATTAGGTAAAATATATGATTTATTAATTTTATTTTTATTTTATTAATTGTGACACAGCCCGACTCTACTTAACAAGCGGTGAACAAGGAAATCTGGCAACCCTGATTTCAGATCGATCGATACCCGTTTAGCCATATGATTTACGTTCATTGACCTGTTGCTCTGTTATGTTTTTGTAAATAAATCCACTTTTCTGAAAGAAAATATTGTTTAGTTAAAGACTAAAGGTGTGAAAAGTTACTGTGTGAGATTTGTAAGTTACCGGGACAATTTTTTCCGTAGACATTGCGTCAAAACAAATATCCGTGGGTGAAAAATTCGCCGGGTTATAAGCGAGGTTAAGAAGTGCTTTCTTCAAAGAATGGCGGTAAATTCGGCGGCGAATGAACATTTTGTGGTGCTTTTTAAAACAATTTATTGAAAGTTAGTTGTTGTTGTAATCAAAAATTACCATGCCAAGTCCTTGTTGTGTGCCTGGGTGCAAATCCAATTATAAAACTTCGTCTTGGTGCAGGAGAACCAGCGGTATCTGTTTTTACCTTTCCTAAAGATGAAAACCTTAAAGCCCAATGGCTTAGGAATATTCCTAGGGAGGCATGGTCACCCTCAAAATATTCTGTGATTTGTGCTAAGCATTTTGTAGAAAGTGACATTATTAGGGAGGGGGATTATCACTCGCTAGATGGATCAGTGCAAAAGGTACCTACTAAAACTAGGCTAAAGTTAAATACAGTGCCTAGTATCTTTCCAAATTTGCCACATTGTCAAAAACAGTCCCTGTTCCCGAAAAAAGTCCTGCTGAAAGAACCAAAGGAATGCAAGATCGAAGTGAACAATTTAAGCATTTCTTTGGTACTTTCAGCAGTACTTTTTCGGGGAACAGGGACTATTTTTGAAAAGTAATGTGGCAATTTTTTTTAGCTTTTTTGTGGCAAATTTGAGCAAACCTTAAATTAATTTAAAAATACGCGCCTCGATAGCCGGTAAAACGGCCCGTCCGTCGCGCATTCGCGTTCGCTAGAAACCGATCTGAATCTCTTGCCGGTTGCGGCGTTGCCAAATGGTTGTTCACGGCTTGTTAAGTAGAGTCGGGCTGTGATTGTGATTAATAAAATTGCGTTTATCTCATCAAAGAGGCAGAACTCGACAAAATAGTAAGAGATAACTTTTAATTGGCATTAAACGGCCTACATAATTTTGATATCGAAAGAAAAAAGACAGTGGCGCACAAGTTTTTTTTGAAATATTATTTTTGAGTGTTAACCCATATGCACGTCCCTGATGAATTGATCGACACTTTTTTAGCATTAAAATATATAGCACTCATAGTAACTTTTACCCTCAAAATTTCATTCGAATCAATAAAAGTACTTGGAAGAAAATTATAAGAAATTGAAAAAATAATAAAATCAACACCCTGTAGCTACGAAACAAAGCAGAATCGGACCTATGTTGATAAGAAAAATAAATCCTATTTTTACGTGAGAAATCTCCTCACGAGAAATGGCACATGTTTTTTGAAACACCCTGTATACTAAACGATTTTTTTCAGGTTGGAATAGACAATATCGTCTACGCTGGTAACCACGGTTTGGAAGTAGTTTATCCCAATGGCTCAAAATACACGCACCAGTTACCCACAACATTCGACGACCAAGTGAAACAACTGATTACAGAGCTAGAAAATGCAGTTGTACGAGACGGAGCCTGGATAGAGAACAAAGGGGCCTCTTTAACGTTTCACTTTAGGGCTACGCCGGAGGAGAAACGACCCGAGATCGAGAGAACAGCCAGGGAAATCATCGAAAAGGCCGGTTTCAAAGTTGGTAACGCGCATTGCGCCCTCGAGGCAAGGCCTAAAGTCGAGTGGAACAAAGGCAAAGTGGCTTTGCTTATTTTGGACAAACAGTACGGAGAGAACAAATGGCAGGGCAATGTTAAAGTTATATTTGCCGGTGACGATACGACCGATGAAGACGCAATGCTTGTAAGTAATGCCAAAAAACGTTTCATGTGGTGAAAGTTTGGTAGTTTGGGACCACAAACTTGTCCCTTTAGAACGCCATCTGTCATGTTGAGAAATGAAAGTAAATAAAGTGCCACCTCATGATTGTCCGCATACTAAAAGTTTCAGTTAATAGCTGTATACCATATCTGTATACTGCTGTATACTGATTTGGCCATCGAAACTGCGCGGTCTGGATTTTATCGTGTAAGACAATGATGTAGACAGCTCAATAGAAAATCTAATGTATTAAAAAGAGATAACAGTTGGGTTATATATTATGCGGTATTGCCGGATTTTCCATCAAAATGTCACACCGCACAACTAGGCGTTTATGAACAAAGTTGCATCTAGGTTTGGAACTTTTTTCAAGTTACTAATTTTACTACGCTGTAATAGATTATATTTTTTCCATAGCAACTGTTAAAATTGCCTTATATCTTATATCTATCAAAAATAGTAGATAAAATAGTACACTTTAACCGCAAGGATAGATTAAATGATACTTTAACAGCGAGCCTATCGGTTAGAAACTTTATTTCTTCTCGCACGTTTTTAATTGCTTCCGTTTTTGAAAATTTTTGTATTCCTTTTCATAAGTAATTCGGGAATTAAATGGAAGTAGTTTGGATATGGCGTTTGTCGCCTCAGCCTGAATATCTGTTGGTAATTTACTTATTTCGTTTTGGGCCATTTCTGGCTCCAATTCAATCAGCTATCGACACGAAAGAGAATTAAAAAATATTGACTCAAAACTGACAACTAAAAAGACAGCTTTATTTATTTGTCAAATTACATAGAAACCAACGCCAATCCAGCACAATATTTTTTCTACTCGTAATAAATTCCTTGAAATAATAATTTCTGAATATTTTTTAAAACGTAACTCGCTATGGAAAAAATAAAATCCCGAAATTAATTCGCTCGCGATTTCATCGCTCGTGAATTAATCTTTTCGGTCGACGATAAAATACCATTTTATCGTCTTGTAGTATAAAAAATAACTATTAGTTAAGATATATTATCTTCATTTCAGTAGTATAACTGAAAGTTTTTGAAATAGCTTCTTTTTTTTACACATTTTCCTACAAACGCAAAAACCGGCAACACTATGCCGCTTTTTATTTTGGCTCTCTGTCTGTCAACCTGTCATTTATATTTATCTGTCGCATGCATTTAAGTACAGATCACGCAGATGAAGCGATCAGGGCTTGTATATTTTCAATATATTTTTTAAATTTACCTTTTTTAATTGTAAAGTAACATATTACATTTAAATGCGATCCAAAGCCTTAATCATTTCGGAGTGGTTCGACATTTTTCGTAATTATATCGGGAAATATTTTTTACTCCACTTTATTAAGATTTTGATTTATTTTCAGAAATAAAATACAGTGTGTTACATATAAAAAACTTTATTTTATATAAACACATATATGAAGTCCCTAAATATCTAAAAAATGCTGTAAAAAACGCAGTGTGAAGCGCGAAGCAAAGAATTCATTACCATAATACTTACATTTATCAAAACCGTAAGGGTACGTCCATAGTGCACAGACTTCCCGCTTTTTCGCGGCAGAATAGCGGTGAAAAATCGAGGAACAACAGTGGGCGCGTGGTCATACTGCGCCAGTTAGCCAGCTTCAACAGGTTTAAACTCCCTCGCTCCTTAGACCTGATACCGGTGTTGTCCCGTATCTATAATAGAGGATGTAGAATGTAGAATGAGGAATGAGTAAGAGAGGGGTTAATCACTGCGACCTTAAAGATCTATTGTGCCCTCCTTCCTTGAGTCATCACACAATCTATAACCCATCATATCCCTGTTGTAGAGGGGACAGGGTATTTCCCATCCTCCTCTGACAACAGTTCTTCATCCGAGGGTACACACCCTTCCACGGTTGGAGTTTGGCCCTCCGTGCCGCTCTTCACAGTCGAGGAGCTTGCCTCCGACTCAGGAACCCGTGAGGTGCAGGCTGGAGGATCTGTCTCCATTTTCTCCACCTCTTTAACTTGGTCTGTCCTTAGACCTGATACCGGTGTTGTTCCGTATCTATAATAGAGGGTACGTCCCTCTTTCTCTATTGCCTCCTTGGATTTGAGGTCAATTCCTATTGTGAGGACCTGACCATGACACTCCCCCCTCGAGTTGATGACTCGCCAACTCGATGTCCTTATATTGATGTTCTAACCCTGGATAAAACTCAGCAGGTAGGTGGTGTCTTTCCCCTTGCTCCTCGGCAGAAAGACCGTGATGGCCGCCCCTTTAGAGATGTTTTCTCCCTTCACTGCAACCAGTTCCGGCCCTTGCCAATTTTTAAGCTTAGGTGTGATTTCCACCAACCAATTCGAGGATTCTTGAGATACATAATCTATGAGGATCATGCCCACCCGAAAGTGTATCCCCGCAAAACGCAGCTGACGCATATTTTGTAGATCGTTGTGTCGCGATCCACAGGACAGTTCCATGACACCAAATGTTAATGTTGTTAAAGGCCACTTCCTGCTTAATTGGCGCAGAAACCCACCGGAAACCCGGTGCACTATGGACATACTTTAAGACCCTAGCTTAAAGTTGCTTCTATACAGCTAAAACTCTAAGAGCTAGCAACGTTTTCGAGAAAGTATTTTATGACGTCTGGCTCTGATATATCTTTTACTATGCTCTCTGGAACAGCATGCGGCCCGTCTGGCTGCCGATACCCGTTGCGTTCACTTCACACCGTTGCGTTCGGAAGAAGTTGCTATATTTTTTATTAATTTAGTCCTATAAATTCTAAAAAAAAAAGTATTGAATATAAATCGCACATGTCTCCATAGAGACATGTGCGTAGAGTTTCCGACCACGAACCGATGATTCAGAGTTCGAATCCGGGTCAGGACAAAGACTTTTTTATTTTATTTTCGTTTATATTCTGATAATAAAGTATTACATAATTCTGGTAATTAAAAAAAAACAGATATTTAATACTTTACTATCAGAATATAAACCAAAATAAAATAAAAAAGTCTTTGCCCTGACCAGGATTCGAACTCTGAATCATCGGTTCCTAGTCGGAAACTCTACGAACTGCGCTATGGAGACATGTTCGATTTATATTCAATACTAGAATTTAAAGGACTAATAAAAATATAGGATCTTCTTTCAATGCGCAGTAGGGAACGCAACGTTTACCGGCAGCCAAACGGGCCGCATGCTGTTCTAGAGAGCATAGTAAAAGATATATCAAAGAGCCAGACGTCTTAAAATACTTATTTTTCCGACGTTGCTAGCTCTCGTACTATAAGATATTCTATGGTTTGTACTTTATACATGTATTTTCGATATTTTTTTCAGGCTTTAAAAGGCAACTCTGTAACATTTAGGATAGCTCCCAACACCCAAATTGCAACCCACGCAACTAAAATTCTATCTTCAACGCAATCCGTTGTTCACATTTTAAAACTGATCCAAAAAATTTTGAAAAAGTAGGACTATGTACATTCCTATAAATAATAATTAGAATAAAGTTATACCGTTAAATAAAAAAATATATTTAATATACAATATTTTTGAATTTACATTTTGTGTTTATTTAAAACAAATAAATATGTATTCAACACAGTGAACAGCTATCATAGCTAAAACATATACACATTAATTATTTTTGATCTGTTTCTAATTTAACTGATCTCAGCTGCATTTTCAAATCCAAATAAATACACAGCCAAACATTTCCTCTTTTTAGTAATATATGTTTTAATGTCAACATGTTTCCAACATGAACTAAACATAAATAAATAAACTTAATTTGTAATGACTGCGTTTGTGCCTAATGTTTTCATCAATTTATAACAATCTTGCAGCTGTTTTTGGTCTCCTATTCGTTCTAGCGTCTTCGCAGCTTCGACAAGCATTCCTGCTCTTTCTCCAGGAGATGACAAAAGCTGCCCTGGTAAATGTTTACAGGCCATATACAGGGCAGCCGCATGTTGACGATCGTTGCCAATTTCTTGGCTTCCTTTGTCTCCTAAGAAAAAATAATTAAATAAAAAACGCTCAGTTTTCTAAATTACTCAATAGTTCAGGGCACTTACAGGGTGGCCCATCGAAAACGTTCCGCAAGACATAACGGCTAGGGTATTTTTTTTTCAAAAAATCCAAAAACACGTCAGTTTTGTTTGTGAGTGGGACAACTTTTGCCCCAAAAATGATTGCAAAATCTTCAACCCTCTAAGCCGGGGTGTCATCCCCCAACTTTTTTCAAATGGGAAAAAGGGTCAAGTGGTGCCGCAGTAAAAATAGCTTTCTATTCTCTATATTTTCCCGCCTCGTTTTTGAAAATCGGTCGAGTCTTTGAGAAAATATGAAGGATTGAAATTTGAAGTTTATTTAAACATTTATCAGAGTAAATGATAAGGATAAATTCCTTCGACCAATTTGCTGGTTTTTCTTATTATTTCTAGATGTTTACACATTTTTTCACTTGCCACCTGGTTGAATGATCAGGTGCGGTAGTTGCTAGATAGCTGTTCTGTGACTTGTGCGTTGAAGTTCTTCTCAATATCGTTCAACTAACCCACAATAGAATTTCCAAAAATACCAGCCCACACGTTCCATTTCTGAGGGTTTTGTGTGTACACCTCGTGAAAAATCCTGGGGTTGTCCTCGGCCCAGTACCGACAGTTGTGCCGATTAACTACACCGTTCAAAAAGAAAGTACACTCATCCGAAAAACACACATTAAATAGGAAATTATTATCATTCGCCACTCGTTCACTCATAACCAAATTGCAAGCGACGATCAAAATCGTCTTCGTTGAGTTCTTGTACCAACTGAATTTTGTTCGGGTGGAACTTGTGTTTTTTTAATATCCTTTGGACACTTCTACGATTCATGCCTTTTTCTGGTTAATTTTCTTGTACTCAGCGTACTATCCATGGCAACTTGGACCAATACGAATACCTCCATAGCTTCATTTACTGCAGGATTTTCCCTCTGCCTCTTTTTATTCATAACGGAACCAGTTTCGCGAAATTTTGTTACTAACTCGCGAACAATTTTGCCATAAAGGTGTTTGTCAGGATGGCGTTCATTGAATATCTGCGCAACCCGATTGCCACATTCGTTATTTTTAAAATAAAGTTCGATTATTTCCACTTTTTCTGCGAGTACACCATAATTGTTAAAAAGTTTAACGATATTGAGAAGAACTGCAACGCACAAGTCACAGAACAGCTATCTAGCAACTACCGCACCTGATCATTCAACCTTGTGGCAAGTGAAAAAATGCGTAAACATCTAGAAATAATAAGAAAAAATAGCAAATTGGCCGAAGGAATTTATCCTTACCATTTACTCTGATAAATGTTTAAATAAACTTTTCAAATTTCAATCCTTTATATTCTCAATGACTCGACCGATTTTCACAAACGAAGCGGGAAAGTATAGAGAATAGAAAGCCCTTTTCACTGCGGTACCACTTGGCCCCCCTTCCCATTTGAAAAAAATTGGGGGATGACACCCCCGCTTAGAGGGTTGAAGATTTTGCAATCATTTTTGGAATAAAAGTTGTCCCCCTCACCAACAAAATTGACGTGTTTTTGAATTTTCTGAAAAAAAATTACCCTGGCCGTTATGCCTTGCGGAACGTTTTCGATGGGCCACCCTGTATTTTTAATTACATTGTGCTCTTGGAACAAAATCCCCTACAGCTAAATTTTTGTATAGTTCATATCAAATAAACTTTTAGTCACGTGATTAAGCTTGACCGGCACAGTGTTGCCCACTTTTACACATTTCCTTTTAATCAAAATACTTTGGGAAACAAAAATAAATTAATTATAAATATATAAAGAGTTATTATTTATCAATTATTATATATTTACCAAACCAAATCAACAAAACTCACCTTCTTAACAGCACTTAAGGGACATAAAGGGCCATTGCTACCGCTTTCCCATTCAAAATATTCTAATAAAGTTATAGAACTTATGACCGAGAAAAATCAAAGGTTTTCCTTGATTTAAGTAAAAACAATCTTCGGATTGTCACGGGGTTTCTAACAGGACACTGTCTCCTCAACGAACACCTCAGTAGGCTGAAACTGAGAAACAACGGCGAATGCAGATTTTGTGGGGGAAATGGGGAAACACCAGAACACCTTATCACTGAGTGCGCCGAGACGACCACCATTCGTGCCATGAACCTTGGTACGTCTGATGTCAAGGATGGAGAGCTGGCCTTTGTGGAGCCGTCTCAGATACTGGCTTTTGTTAAAGCCCTGAGACTGTATGATGAGTTATAACTCGTTATAACTCAAGAAAGGGGAACACACAATAGATCTATAAGGTCGCGGTGATTAACTCCCCTTCTAAACATTCTACATTCTACATTCTATAGAATTATTAAGCTATCTTGAACACTTCGCACTAAAAGAGGTTCTACAAAGAACAATGTTCGACTGCAATGTGTGCTAATAACATTTTTTAAGCTTAAAATATCACAACACAATTCATTTAAACCAAAAACTCGTAATACAAAACTAAAGTGTCAAAACGAATAACAATATTAGGAAATAAATGAATAAATTACATTTTTTACAGCAGCTTTTGACAACTTGAACCCCCAGCGGGAAATTTAAATTCCAGTTAGTCAGCCGGGCGCCGAATATGCTCACGGTTGGCAACAATGGATTTAAAAATTGCGCCCTCAATTACGTATCTAACAGTTTAACTGGTAACAAATATAATTAAAAATTCAGCTTTAGGAGATTTTATTCCAGGAAACACCTTGCCCGTATCCTGGACTATAAATTAACCAACCTTTTCCACAAATTATTGAAGGTTTAGAATGCCTGTGCCGTAGACTGCGGTCCAGCAACTGTTGAGTTCTTCCTGGAGCGGCGCCCGCCATTAAACGCAGAGTAGCTTCGTATAAAAATACTCTGGAAAGCGCGAACTGAAAAAAAAGTGAGTTGTTTTTTACGGAAATTTTTCTTATACAGGGTGTCCCAGAAATAAGTGCAAGTATTTTAACTGGTAGTATAGTTTGACCCCAGAAACACGCAAAAGGTTTTTTTGGCGAAAAAAATGTTGAAAATTTGATATTTTTCTCGACATTTTCCGGAAAATATCGAAAAACTTTTGAGTGCCACTTGTTCAGTGTCCGGAAATTTGTTTATAGTGCTTCAAGAGAATGCAATGTTGCCACATCCTACGTTATCCACATTTTGTATGTTTATAAGTTATAAGTCCACATTTTAAAATATCTACAAAAAAATACTCAATTACATCGATCTGCTATCTATCAGGGTCCGGTTTTCTAATGTTAGGTAAGTTTTTTATTTTCAATCTGAAACACGGCAAAATGCTATGTTTAGCTTGACAAAAATCCAGATTCATTTTTTTGTATATTTATCCACACATTGCTTATCTTATTACATTTGTAGGGCTAATTTTAAATATTATAAATGTTTCCATTCAACTTGAGTAGTCCAAGCGTTACCGAAAATTGATGCAGTTCGCACCTTTCCTGGAGCGCAAAAGAGTGTCATTTACACCCAGCACAGCTATTTGAATTTTTTTCTACTGTCAATAATATATGAAAAAAAGCTTGTAATAAATCTAGAAATTCATAATTTAGAATATCTGTCTTCTTAAAACTAAAAAAATCCTTTCTTGACATTGCAGGACTGGTATAGAAATCAGTACGACTCCTTGCAAATAAAGGGCTATTTCAAAAAAGGGCAAATTTGGGAAAGCTGATTTTTTATACCTGTATCAACATATATACATTAGTGATTTTAATTTTATTAAATTAAAAGCGGAACTCCGTGGAACTCATAACTATAACCCATTATGAAAACAAAATTATCAAAAAAATAAACCCAAAATAGTGTGTTTAAAATATATCTTATCTACATTCAAAACAGTTCGAATTTATTATATTGATGTTATTCAATTGTACTACATGTCTGTAGCTATATTGTCCATAATGGTAATTAATTTTCAAATGGCTGTGCTGGGTGTAAATGACACTCTTTTGCGTTCCATGTTTGTGCAAGGCTAACGCTCTTCCCAGAAAGTGCGGACTCCATTAACTTTCGGTAACGCTTGCACCGTTATAGTTACTCAGAAAAAATTATAACATTTAAAATTAAGTCCACATATTTTATAAGAACGACAGTGAGTGTAAACATACCATTTTGCCGAGGCTCTCAAAATGTTGCCATTATTTTTTTAAATTTTCTAAGTTAAATAACTCCATTGTTATCAATTTATTTTAAAAATGATAAAGAGAAAATGTTTCTTTTGGACCCCTTGAAATACTTGCACTTATTTCTGGGATACCCTGCGTTTAAATTCCTCACTGGTAAATGTTCTGCCAAACATCGTAAGGAATGCAGATCTTTATTGAAAGCGGTAAGACAGGAATTCGAGGCTGGCGGTTTGGAACCTTCCTCTACACTATCTTCCCATAGCGAAGTTCTCGTTTCTAGTATCCAGTCACAAACCAATAATTGATATAGCTAAAAAATTAACAAAATAAATTAACCTCTTTTAATATTTCTTCATATGGGAAAACTACGAGAACGATTGAAATAGACTTCTAAAGTCTTCTTTAAAACTCAGGTAAGATTTCTGCATCAGCAGACATGCGTCATTGTTTTTAAACAATTCTATGGATTTATTTCAAAAATGACATATCAATTTTTCCACATGTTTCGAGTTTCCACATGACGGAAAGATAGATAGACACACGGACGCAGATGCGTATGAACTCGATTTAAGTTTTTTGAGACTTGTCAATCTCTTGCCAAATTATAGGTTATAATTTGTGTCAAATTATGTTAAATAACTAGCGTTCTGGATAATAATTAACATTTGCGAATTGCATTTGCATTTTCAATTTTTTTTCTTTTGCAACTTATCTATTTTTATTAAAATTATACCGGGTGGTCCAAACTGTATTCCGGAAACTTCGGCAGCATATTCTGCAGATAAAAATAAGTTAAAAAGTTCGTATAAATGCATGACTTAAAATGCTTAGTTTCAGAAATAGATACAGGGTGTAGAACTTTCTTTATTTTGTTTTTTTTTCCAAATAATTTCTGAAGTAACGTCAATATTTGAATGAAAATTGTTGTCTGGGAGTTTTTATGAGAAATTTGATTTTGATGTCAATATGACTCCCATTTGTAGAGGGCGCCACCCACATGTGTTTTAATAGATTTTTCTGCGAAAAAATGATAACAGTTTCTGATGAACTTTTGCCACAAAAACATTTCAAATTGCACCTTCCTTAATCATCTTATAGTAATAAATTTTGAAAATAAAACATCTTAAAAAAATCATGAACTATAAAGTTCTACTAGGCTACACTAGATATCAACTGTTTGGTTTGGGTTACTGGTGGGTTGACTGTCTCAGTCTCACTGATTGCACTGAAGAAACACTGCACTATTAAAAATACATGCAATGCAACTACAATGCACCAGTGAAACTAATCCTGTTGCAGACATTCATTTCATATTACACAATCTACATTAATAAATTATAGTACATACCAGCAGTAAATTATTTTCCTTCTTGCAACTGGTGTAAGTCAAACTGTCGTCCAGCAACCGACTGGCAAAATCGCACTGCATCTGAATTTGTTTGCTCAGAACTGTTTTATTCGTGTCTAAATAATTCCTTCTGGCCATATAAGCGGCCATGATGACTTTAGGCAGTGGATCGTTTGACGAATTCAATGCTTCAGGCAAAATTTCTAACTTTTTATACAGTCGCTCAGTTTTATCGTCTTCTTTAAGCAACCAGTTGCAAGCGATCGTTATAACAGTGCCCCACCATTCCGCTACATGATCGTGATAAACTAAAATCAAAGAATTTTTTTATCAAAAACTAAAGTAATATACAGGGTGTCCCACTAAGAATAGCTCTCGGCTGTATCTCGGAAAAAAATATTTATAACTAAAGAGACTGTGAGAAATTGCTGGAAATTATTTTCAAGTTTGTAGAACGGCCGCTAGAGGGCGCAACTGCTATGGAAAATAAGAAAATGGAATTTTTACGAAGTTTTGCCTTAATAAGGTGTACTATAAATAACAACTTTAAAATCTTCAGTAAATTTTGGATCTTTTTTGTTAGAACTATTTTCGCCTATCTGCTAAAATAACGTGGGGGGGAAGGTTAGATCTGCTTTTATTTAAATATTAATAACACCGAACGAAATGAGAGCTAGTTTAAAAGAGAAATCTTACTCTACATTATGCCATATAAACAATAAAAATAAGCTTTGGGATGTAGACGTTAGGGGGCGCTATCTATAAATAAATGCCTTTATTGTCAAAAAAATTTACAATTTGTAGACAAAGGTAAACTAAACAAATAAATTAAACAAACAAACAAACAAAAGAGAATACAAAACATTATACAAATAACATTGTCAGTCTTATTGTTTAAAATAAACATTTATAAATGTTTATAATGTCAAAGAATAAAAAAATAAAAATAATATTCAAAAATATTTAGTTAGTTTATAGTAAATATCAATGACCTCTAAATAAATGTATTTCGATGACATTGGTAAATATAGCAATAGCAAATATTAGACCAGTATTTACAAGATCAAATTCAATTATCAAAATATAAGTCATTTACGGCGTAGAAAGCCTTGTCTAGTAAATAAGATTTCAATGCATTGCGAAATGAAGAAAATGATATTATGGATTTGATTTCAAATGGCAGGTGATTGTGCATTTTTTTCGAGTTGTATAATATTGAACTTTTAACTAACTCTGAGCGTGGGGAGGTAGATAAAGATCTTGCTCTGCGTTCCTGAGTGGATAAGTGTGAGATGGCCTTTCTTGAGAAGCTGATACAAGCTTACGTGTATTAGGCAAACGGATTCAAATATAAATAAGGAAGGAAGAGTTAATATTTTTAATTTTTTAAAAAAGTCCTGGCAATGAGTTCTGCCGTTTAGTCCCAGTGAATATCGAACAGCTCTCTTCTGGAGCTTGAAAATGGGGCCAAATTGAGTCGCACAACACGTACCCCAGAATGGAAGGGCATATCTGAGGTGCGACTCAAAACGTGCATAATAAACAGTTCTAGCCACTGACAAGTTAAGCTCCTTAGAAACAGATCTTAATGCAAAACAGGCAGAGCTTAATTTTTTCGACAAAGCGTCGATATTCATGTCCCATTTCAGAGAATTGTCTACAACAAGCCCTAAGAATTTTACAGATTTACTTAACAACACCAATGGTGGTGTTGTTAAGTACAAAAAATCTTATAATATATCACCACAGATTAGGTATACTATATGTATACAGATAAAAATCTTATCCCTAATTCGTGGTACGAAAATTGTTTTTTATGACAATGTGCAAACGAGTAAAATTTTCTGTGCGCAAAAATAAACTCGCGTAAAATAACAATAAACAGCGTAATAGAGAGATATCGCTAAAGCGAATAGCGTGCATGGACGTTAATAAGGCCAGGTGTTATTTCCTTTACGTGAGGTGGTATTAACTCTCTTCATTTATAGTTATGGGATCGGAAAGAATTCTGTTCGCGTCGCGTCTGCTATTTAAACTTAACCTAACTTTGAAATGGTTTTGTTTACTAGGTATTTTAAAACTAAAGGGCTAAAATGCTTATTTCCATTGCTTTATTGTTCAACGTCTGCCAGTGGGTTTAGGGCAACAAGCAACAAATTCTCTTAGAAGGGCTAAGTCGTCATCCGCAGTAAACCTAAGCCTCTTTATAGGTTCTTTAAAATTGGAAGAGGTGGAATCCATATTTTGAGCCATATTTATTTAATTAAAACTAATCCCAGCTACTTAAATATCAAATTACCTAATAAAACTAAAGTAATAATTTAAAACAATTCAAACATAACCTAAAATAAAACCGTCCGGCCCCGGTTGTCAAATACCCGCACATGCCCATTTAAGCAATTTTTAAACGTTATTTAGAAATTGCGCTTGGTGTAATTGATCCGCAAATTACGTCAGGCGGTAACGTTATTAGCGGGTGTTGCGTTGAAAATTGAGTCGCGCATATCATAACCATGATAAGGTACGCGTAAATACTGCATGACGCTATTCGGTTTTCCGCAATAACTGTGCCGGTCAGGCGCTGTGCACAATTTTAGAGGCCATAAGTGGGCCTGCTATGTGCGCAAACTAGTAACCTAACTAGTGCCCGATTCCTAAAATTGGAACCACGAAAAACAATAAAGAAAAAACAAAGTTTATAATCTGTATAATCTGTGATATCACTAAATAGCAGTTGCTTTACTTACATACTGTATCGCCCGCTTTAAAAACAGTTCTAACATCAATCATAACATTATTATTCAGTAAATCAATGTAAGTTAGAGCGTCGTGAAGGTCCGTTTTCTTATCTTGATTTAATTCGCTTTTCTGACCTGGCGCCACCAAAATTGATAGTGCTTTTTGCAAAAGATGTTCATGATATATCTGTAACAAAAATACCAGAAATAAAGATTAGAAACACATACTTGTTTATTTCTTTAAAAATACCTTACCTTCATAAGTTGTATTAACGGATCAATATTATCACCTAACTTAGTAAAAGGTAATGATTTAGGTTTATACTGTTCGGAAAACTTGTAGGATAAGAAATATCTGAATCCATATGGGGTAAAAAGCCATTTTAGACGTAGAGGAATTGGGTCGCAAGAGTTAGTCGATGCCAGTTTTGCCAAACCAAAATAATACCTGCAAAAAATAATCATAAATTATGATATTTTGATCAAAGAATAATTGACATATTGTAATCGCAAAACATTTTCCGATGCACGTCATCAATCATATTATCGACATTGACATTAAAGTCTATAAACCTGAGTAAATGAAATTTTGGCAAAAATGTTTAAATTTGTTGTATAGTTTAAGATACCTAGCTCTTCATTTTACCGTATGATCGAATAAAAACGGCGTCAGCGATGGCTATGAAATGAAGATCGCTGTCATCTTTGTGAACAATTCTCGTTTTTTTTGTCTATTTTCGTAGTCTTTTAAAAATTGCACTTTTAAGCACAAACAGTTCTTTTAAGAACTAAATTTTCGACTTTTTGTATTGCATTTCATGAAATTGTGTGTTGAAAATATGCCGAAGCATTTATACAGTCGAAACAAAGAGCTTGTAGCTTCCCGATAAACAATTTAAACGAGAACGTGACAATAAAGATCGTTTATTATCCTTGACTGCAGTCAGAAGTAAGTTTGATTTATAAGCATATTATAGCACTTTCAAAGTTAGTTTTTATTAAATTCTGTGATTATTATGGTATGTATACATTGGTTCGCCTCTATTGGTACGTGTTTTCAAGTTGCGCGCGCAAACAGCTAGCGGCGAACCATCTCCAGTCGGTTTTTCGACGCTCCGCTTTGTTTGTTCGTTGTTCAATTAGGACGGCCGGTGAAGACACCGCGCGCATTTATCAGTGACTATGTGTATTTTCTTTGAATAAATTCCCTTTTTTGTGTTTTTCTTTGAATATTGTTTATTAATGGAGTGTTTAAAGAGTCGCACTACTCATGATTAAAATTGCGTAGTTCCTCTCGGACGATGGAGACATGATTAACGACTAGACGAATGTTCGCGGGATTTCTATGGATCGCGGGATGTTCGTTAAAACAACAAAAGTAACGCGCGGACAAAGCTCGGCGCGCGCGCTGCAACTTCGCGGCGCAGCGCACCAATGTATACGTACCATTAGTTTGTGCATTAATAGCACCCTCTTACTTGTTATTACCCCTTATGGCGTTGTAAGATGTACATCAATAAATAAATAAATAACCCCATAATAACCCTTAGAATAATCTTCATAATGGACTAGTTTTTGCCAATATGTAATAAATAAAATAAGCTATAAAACAAATAAATCAATTAGTTACTAAAATATTAGTTATTAAATTAAAAATAAAACGTAAAACTCTTTAGAAAAATTAAGATTCATCTCATAAATCCATCATAATCTGGCAGCGCTGTCGCCATCGCTTGTCACTCAAAGTGGATCATATGCATTGGAAATTGTTTTGCGATTACCATACTTCGTTAGTATATGTAAAAAGCCTGGTAGGCTGGCTTTTATCCTTAGTGCAACTCCAATATAAATGTCAATCATGTCAACGGGTTTAATTCTTCCTTTAGACGCTTCGGCCAGATTTAACGCATTCAAGGATGTCATTAGGCCAAATAAATGACAGGCTTCTTCCGGTCCTTCGACGAGCTGTACCTTATGTAAATCATTAAAAATCAAAGCCAGTTCTTTACAAGACGTCTGTGCCTCAAATCTAGTAATTCTAAAAGATTAATAATTTATTATCGTTAATTGAAGAAATAAGAAGATACGCAACGTTATGGGCGATTTCGTGGCACAAAACCTGTCCGAAATGTAGCTGGCGTTACCGTCAGCCTGTCCGAGATTCATTTTATCTCTGCGACGCTGCGCGCTGATAATCGTTTACAGCGCAGCGGATAAAGAATACTGTACGTAGTAGTGATGGGAATAATCGAATTATTTTCACCATCGAATAATTAGTAATAATTCATATTTCACAATCGAATTAATAATTCGAATTATTTAGTAGTATTATAAATTTAACCTAAAAATAAATTCGTCCCAGCTAGTGCTCGTCTAAGGGCTATTTTAAACAAATCTGAACCATTGCGATACCTATATTCTATCACTGAATAAAAAAAAATATTCTTTATTCAATGTATTCTATTAACTGTGCCGAAGCCCTTTAATAAATTAAACCATAATTTAAAGTTTTAAATTTAAAAGTGCCGAGTTTATGATTGTTTCAATTCCTATTGAAAAAAGCTCATATCTAAAATAAAAGCTTCTTCTAAAACGATATAAGTATGTCCTTGTTTACGTGCGGTTCGTATTTCTTTTTATTTTATCAGTTGCAATCAATAATTATTTAGATAAAAGAAGAAAATTAATTTTAGTGTTCGGAAGGTGTTCGGTGAAATTTGGGTGAGATGGAAATGAACCAAATAATAGTAGTATTCTTTCGTTCTGAACGAAATGAAAATTTTCACTTAAACTGATTTATTCCTACGTGGTATAGGAAATAACAATGATTTCTGGATTTTTTCTCGATTCCCTTTATAAATCAGTTTAAGTGAAAATTTTCAGTTCGTTCCGAACGAAAGAATACTACTAATAGTACTATACTAATTACTAATATTCGTATTCGTCCATAAGAGGTTATGTTTTATGTTCATTTGTAATTCGGTTACCACAGATATAATATAAAATACTACTAATTTTTATCTCCATTATATCGAAAAAGATAATTCGAATTAGTTAGTTTTAATTTACTATCGAATTAGTCGTATTATTTAATTCGAATTTTCCCAACACTAGTACGTAGTTCTGCTTTCAGTCGACAGAGTGGGTGCTTGCCGAAGACAGTGTTGCCAGAACTACGGATTAATTCGTAGATTTACGGATTTTCGGTACAGTACGTTAATAATACGGATTTTCTATCATTAAACAATTTAATATAATATTATATGATGAAACAAAGAACGGCATCAGAGTTGGCTCGGAAATGAAGATCGCTGTTATTTCATACACAGGGTTGTTCATCACATACTTCACGGAGTATTGTAGCTAAAGGATTAGATTTTTACAAATTGTAAGTTTTGGGTTCGTTGAAGAGCTATGAGAGGTACAATTTAAACATAATTTTACAAGATACAGAGTGTCCCAAATAAATAAAAAATATTATAGTTGTATTTTTTTAAATGGAACACCCTTAATATTACTCTATTTTCAGATTTTACGGTTGAAATAAAGATAAATTTGATTAAGGCTTATCACAATTAAACCTTACCGTTTTTAAAATATTTTCAATTTATATATTATTATTTTTACCACCTGTAAATGTTGTACATATGTTGCTTTAAAAAAATCTAAAATGTCAATATTCCATGGGTATAGTGATAAATGGGGTCTAAATTATATGAAAATGCATTTTCTACGAAAACTTGAAGAGATAGGTAACAAATTGTATAATACAATTTCAAAAACCATTGAATTGTGCATGTGACTCGCGTAAAATATATAGGGTGTGGCATTTAAATTAAACACGTTATTGAACGCTAGTAATTATTTAATATAAACTTTTGGACACTCTGTATAAGGTAGTATAATTTTTATTATTGCCACACAATATCTGATCAATAAATAATCTTCAGTAAATATTTAGTATTAAAATCTTTAATACCCTTGGAGAAATGAAGCCTTAATTTTCTCACTGCAATTTCACAAAATTGAAAATTTTTCAAAAACGGTAAGGAGGTGTGATTAACCTTAATCAAATTTACCTTCATTCTAACCGTAGAATCTAAAAATAGAATAATATACAGAGTGTTCCATTTAAAAAAATAAAACTATATTTTTTACTTATTTGGGACACAACTAAACGACTTTTTTTGATACGAAATATTCAGTGCCTATAAAAGAATTTTTATTTTTGTTTCAACACAAATAATAATTTTCAACACATAAACGCGTATTTTTCATGCAAAGATATTTTCGTCGAACGTATTACAGATATTACACATTCTAATATGGCAACACTGTCGCTTTCAGTTCCACACCGTGTTCGATATGTCTTCGCTAGACGAATTAGAGAAAATGAGTGTTTTATGCGTTGGCCGCAGAACGAGTAGTGGCTCCACCGTACAGAACTTGAGAACTAAGGGGAAATCAAATCAGCCTCGTCACGAATTCGCCCATTATTGCGTATTATTTTCGTTTAATCACCAATAAGTTTATACTTGCCTGTCAACAAAAAATCCACCTATGTGTCTCGACAAATACCTTCCTATCCAAATTCTGTGCATTATTTGTCTGACTAATTGCCAACAGAAACTTAGACATAATTCCACTCTGCTTGTGGGTAATGTTATACCGTACACTTGCAACGCTCTGAGTAACTCCTGTTTAGATGCTGCTTTATCACCCTTTAAAAAAAGAAAAGTTCCAATTAGCATATGTTATACCATATGATCGAAATAAAAACGGCGTCCAGTTGGCTGGAAAATGACGATCGATGACATTCCCCATATAAATTTACATATAAAATGACAGCGATCTTCATTTCATAGCCATCGCTGACGCCGTTTTTTTTTGGATCATATTGTACTTCTGAATAAAGACTAATGAAGGAATCCCTAATAGTTATACCGTTTAACCGAAAAAAAAAACGTCAGCGATGGCTATGAAAGGAAGATCGCTGTCACTTTATATGTAAATTTATATGGGAAATGTGATCGATTGTAATTTCCCAGCCAACTGGACGCCGTTTTCTTATACCCTAAATGAAAGAATCTAATACATACCTCCAACATGTATATATCTGCTTGTTTTCTATGTATCCAGTACTTCTCGGCCTCTTTAGACTTGGTAAATAAAATTGGATCGCCATAAACAAACATTTTAATCAGACAAAAACCCAATATAAAAATGTGTAATAGTCCGAGAGCCAGATATGAAGGTGAAAATGATACAGTGTGTTGTTCGCTCCCTATAAGGTAATAAAAAATATCAGATTATCCTTTAAATAATCTAAGACTGAAGCCTGAAGTGGGATTGAGTTTTTTAACTCATTTAAAAATTGGAAAATTTAAAATAACAACATATTTTTGACACAAATTGACACAAATCGCCCCCCTCTAAACACCAGCCGTTAAGGTTAAGAAATGAAGTAAATGAAACGCCATCTCGTGATTGTTTGCATACTAAAAATTTCAATTATGTAATCGTTGTATTTTTAATATACTTTTCACATTTATATTTTTTTAATTGTGAAGTAACATATTACATTTACAGCATACATTACAGTATATATTACATAACAATTATGTCGATTACAAGCTTGTTTTCTAACATTTTTTAAATATTATAAAATTTCAATATACCGGGTGCGTCTCAAAAGTAGTTCACACCTATGACTTTTTTATTTTCTCACATAAAAAAAACATATTTGGTATGTTAGTATATGACATAAATTAGGATTGATTGACGTATTCAATTGTTTTCGGTCACTTCCTGTTTCACCGGAAATGGCTACAACTTTTGATTTTTAAATGGCACCCTCGCTATTTTTTTTACTTTATTTGATAGAAAATGTCACTCTGAATAGAATGACATAACATATGTCTACTTCTGGCATTTTCGCATATGGTTTATTTGAAATTATAACATGCGGTTCATAACGATAATTTGACCCAAAATACCAAGTGTGTGGTACCAAATTATTTGTAAAAAATTCTTTTTCCAAATATGCTAATGAGCCACCCTTGTTCCATTTGAAAAAATTGAGATATGATTAAAAAAACAATGTAGGTATCTTTTAACTGGCCAGGACAAGACACAAAAAACACTAGACAATCAAATCGATTTTTCCAAGGCTCCTTGATTAAAAATTAGTGTTTTTAACACAGCCATGGCACTCTAGACTGAATTTTAAAATACTAATATTTTTTTAAGCAAAAATGTCTAAAGTTCACATATAATATGTCATCCTATTGAGTGTCGTTTTCTATCAAATACATTAAAAAAATACCGATGGTACCATTTAAAAATCCAATGCTGTAGTCATCTCCGGTGAAACAGGAAGTGACTGAAAACAGAAACTACAAATACTACTGTGTAACACTAATTGTTCTATCAAAAACACTTACAGGCAAGGATAGTACGACTTCCTGGTATACTGCTACTATCTCCTACTGGTAATTTGCTGAGAATAAAACCAACTGGATTAAATGCCACCATCGCAATCATGAACATACACAACGTCAGTCGGGATTGATCTAACATACCCTTAGTCAATGGAACCTAAAATTTCGTTTGTTACTAAATAGTGGAGTGCTTTAAGCCCTTATGGGATACATACATCGGAATTCATTTACTGTGAACGAATATTTATAAAACTTCTTGCATTGTATTGTTACTTCGATTTTCAATCAAAATTTCAATGATGAAAATATAAGCAGAATAGGTAATAGCTTATGCATTAGATTCACTTATTTCAATAAAGTTACTTAGAAAACATGCTTGCTTCATCCACGTTACCGTAGATAGAGCTAAGAAGGCTTAGGTAGGGTATATATAATAAATAAACAAAAATACGAGTAGCGGAAAAAGGGGCCAAAAGTAGCTCTATCTACGGTAACGTGGATGAAGCAAGCATGTTTGTCCAGTAGGCCGCTGGTTTTAATTTTGGCGGTACGATCTGTGATTGTCACAGCTACCGCTAGATGGCGTAGAGGGTCTAGCACTCTCGCCATAGTAGTACTTATTGTACTCAAATGCTATTCTCTGCTTTTCGTTGGTCAGATCGAGGGTTACAGCAAAGTCGGCCTGACGATGGAGAAAAATCTCCGAAACCGGTCGTCGAATGGCTGTTCTCTTCGGTCTGACAAACTTAATGCAGGGAATAAGCATATATGTAGGGTTTTTTGGCCCCTTTTTCCGCTACTCGTTCCGCTACTCGTTTATTTATTACCAGAGTACGTAGATCGCCGAGTAGCGACAGAAACCGTCGGCTCTTTTGATGTGGTGGGACCAAATTTTCTTTCTCTCTTTTGACGTGTTTGACAGATAGACTACGTATTTAACTGCTCAACTTATGAAGTGGTCCTATAAACATGGTATACACTGCTCACAATTTGAAGTGGAATTAATTATAACGTTTTATACATATCTTTTTTGTTTTGTTTTATCCTTATTTCTAAATTTGAATGTATAAAATATCTTACTGCTAATAAATAATTAAAAAAACGATTCGTTGCCTGAGGTATACTTGAAATAAAGTATATAGAGATATTTGATAAATGGCAACAGTGGCAACTTCGCTTCTTCGTATGACAGATAACCTACTTATTTCGCGCAGCCGCAAAGAAAATTGAAAACGGGACTGTCGCTACTCGTCGGTTTAGGTACTCTGTTATTACTTAGAAAAAATTAAGAAGGAAATAACTAAGGATTTACTAAAATTACTAAAACAAAGAAATAAAAGCAACGAAAAAAAAATTGGTCAAGTGCGAGTCGCACTCGCGCAGGAAGGGTTCCGAACCATTCATTATCTATACAACATTAGACACTATATTATTATAAACTTTTTTTCCGATTTAGCTAAAATTTTAAATGCGCGTTAAGTAATTTAAAAAAAATGAAGAAACACATTACTAAAAATTGTAAAAAGTAAAAATAAATATGTAAAAATTAAAAAAAAACGATTAAAAAAAAGTCGCCTTGACTAGGATTCGAACCTGCCTTACTACGGCTCCAACGTCATAGCAGCGTAAAGTCCTAACGCTTTAACCACGCGGCCACCGGGGACTTGAAAGATTCTATGATCATGGATTCTATGTAAAATTCTTACTTAAAAGATGACGTTTAGTGAAAGTACTTTTTTATTTATAAACATTTATTTAATTCGGTTTTTAGTATTGGTTCTTATAGCGGCAACATTGATACATTATCTGTAAAAATTTCAACTATCTAGTTTTAACGGTTCATAAGATAGACCTTTGTGACAGACGGACGGACGGACGGACAGCGAAGTCTTAGTAATAGGGTTCCCGTTTTTACCCTTTGAGTACGGAACCCTAAAAATGGGTAAATATTTTAGTATTTTATCCTTAAAACACAATACAGGTTTCACATTAATGCATTCACAGTAATTGAGTTCCGATGTAAAAGTCTCTGGGCACTCCACTTAAATAAGCAAAAGACGAATAAAATCACATACCTCATCGTCACTTTCGTCTTTAACATTTGTAGAATATTCGGGACTAGATGGCAAGGAATTTTCCGAGGATATATCCGAATGTGGAGGTGTGTCATCTGGAGCATATTTAACGTTGTTGGTAAGGAGGCTTTTAAGTGTGTTTTTCGTTGCTGCCATTTTAAGTGACATATTTTCTTCTTTCAGTCGAGCGTTAGAGTTTTGAAGGAAACGTATATACTCTATCGTTTTCCGCAAAATAGCTGATTTGTTCAACTACAGATATAGATTAAATTTAATTAATTACAATTACACAATATTATACAGGGTTGTTCCTTAATGATATGCTAATATTTAAGGGTGTTGATTCTTGGACTTGGAATGTACATTCATATGAAGATTTTCTCTTAGAATAGGTCCAAGAATCAGAACCTTAAATATGTCATTAAGAAATACGCTGTATAAGCGATACCAATTAAACTTTTAGTTACGTAATCGAGGGCGCGATTTTAAAGTTCATTGTTGTCAACCATCGACATATTTGGCGTCGGGCTGACTAACTGGAATTTAGATTTCCCCTGGAGATTCAGGTGGTAGTAAAAAATGTCAAGTTGCCACATTTATTTATTTATTTCCTTTCCTGACATTGTCATACGTTTTGACACTTTAGTTTTGTATTATGAGTTTTTGGTTTAAATCTATTCTCTGGTTTAAATAAATCGTGTTGTGATATTTTAAGCTTAAAAATTTTTACTAGCAGACCTTGCAGTCGAATATTGTTCTTTTTAAAACCTCTTTTAGTGCGAAGTGTACCAGATAGCTAAATAGCCACTGCAAAAAATTCATTGCAACCTTATTAGGACATTTTGAACAGGAAAGCGGTAGTAATGGCCCTTTATGTCTCTTAAGTACTGTTAAAGAGGTGAGTGTTGTGCTTATATATTTATAATTAATTTATTTTTGTTTCCAAAAATATTTTGATTAAAAGAAAATATGTAAAAAATGTCTATACCTATGTGGCGGATTCATCTCTCTAAAAAATCCTATATGGGTATTTCGCCACTGCAAGAAAATCTACAAAATAAAATAGTTATTTTTTGTAAACACTTCTGCGTTAATCCAAACGGAAACTACTTGTCAGAAGTTAGGTTTACAGAAAAACAAATTTGCCTAACGAACAAAGAAATGCTTAACGTTTCGGAAAGTTTATCTCTTTCCGTCGTCGGAAGCAAAAAAATACAAAGAATAAACAAAAAAACTATTTAAAATATTTAAATTCAACTATTCGAGAACACTTTAGTTTTTTAAAACAGATACGTCTACAAAAACCATTGACGTTCTGTTAAAATGACATTATAGCCCCAAGTGAAACTTCAAAATTAACAATTACTACCTGATAACAATTACTTAATAAGGTAAAACCAAAAAACCCCAAACTTTCTGTATGATTAATTTTAATTTTTACGTATGTTATGTTTATTTAAGTTATGTTCTTTAAAATCTCGCTTCTTTGATTTGCCATACATTACTAACATCTAGGGATGCATGAGCAATACATTTATTTTTATTAGATTGTATTAAAAAAGCCTCTTTTATTTTTCTTTTGGAGACTATCGCTTCTTTCATTATAATTTTGGCGTTGTTAAAATGTATTCTGTGCCCTGTGTCCCATGAATGCTGACAAATCTTAGATTTGTGAAAATCTCCCTTTCTTAAATAATCTTTATGTTCTTTAATTTGAACATTTGCAGTGGCGAAATACCCATATGGGATTTTTTTAGAGAAAATATGTAAAATTGCGCAACGCTGTGTCGGTCAAGCTTAATCACGTGACTAAAAGTTTATTTGGTATGATCTATAATAAAATTTTCACCTTGGCCTCTTCGCCAACAATAATATTCTTCAATTCAACAATTTTATCGTTGATGCTGGTTCTATACTTTCTTTCGATGGCATTGTGTGCACTTCTTTTTACTTCCTTCACTTTTGGTTCTTTTCCTTGTGAAATTCTGTTAATAGCAACCTGCATAATAATAATAATACTCTATATGACCTCTCCAACTATACAGGGTGTCCAAGAAATAAGTGCAAGTATTTTAACTGGTACTTAGTATAGTTTGACCCTATGAGTTTTATTTGCAAAAAATGTTGAAAATTTTATATTGTTCTAGAGATTTTCCGCAAAATATTGAAAAACTTTTGAGTGCCGCTTGTTCAGTTTTCGGAAATTTGTTTAGAGTGCTTGCAGAGAATGCAATTTGATATTTTCCGGAAAATATTGAAAAACTTTTGAGTGCCGCTTGTTCAATTTCCGGAATTTGTTTTGAGTGCTTGCAGAGAATGCAATGTTGCCACCTCTTACGTTATCCACAGTCTGTAAGTTATAAGTTTACAAGTTCACATTTTTAAATTTCTACAAAAAAAATATTTAAATTAATTTTATTCGCTGTAGATTTTTAATCATTGTAGATTACTATTATCTTTCTAGTCTACTGGGCGTCAAACAAGCTGAGATTCTGGTAATTGTTTGGTATTTCTGGCCGATAATCGATTCCTGCCGGCGCGCGGCGGCTCTCAAAATGTTGCCATTATTTTTTTATATTTGCAAAGTTAAATAGCTCGGTTTTTATAACGATTTATTTTAAAAATGGTAAAGAGAAAATATATTTCTTTTAGCCAATTCTACCACCCCTTAAAATACTTGCACTTATTTCTGGGACACCCTGTATATAAGATGAATCACCGGGATGGTACATTAGGCATTTATGGAGAACCGGTGATAGAATTTTTTGGAAAATTTGGATTTTTGCATACAAGGCACCTGCTCCAGCTATCTAAAATATTTTCGGCGTTACAAGGTTGCCGCATCATTTAAAAACTGGTAGCATCTTTCTTATTTTAAAACGAACACCCGGTATATTATTACATTTTTCGAATCTACTTTCATATCTCATAATTTTTCTATTATACTAACCTATACCTATCTCTAATAGTTTTTGAGATAAAAAATAAAACATGTGTAAAATTGAGAAAAACATAATCTTAAGCATTGGTAAAATCTTAGGGTAAAATCATGAATAATTAAACATTTCAAAATTTCAAATTTGGGTTATAAGTTAACGAAAGTCGATATATTCGATCTGTCTAAATCTACTGATTCGATATTACACAGGGAGAGCAAAGACATATTTATTTCTGTTTGAAATATTTTTTCTCGTTCATTAAAATTGGTTGGTTAGTTTATTATGTAAAATTGCTCAAATCTTTGTTATTTTAAATTCAACCCTATGTATATTACTTAAAAAATGAAAAAAACTGATAAAATTGAGAGTTTATTTAAAAATTAATAATTCTATTATTATACAGGGTGAGTCTTAAATAAACGCAAATATTTTCAGGGGTGGTATATTTCAACCCCAGGAACACATCTATGAGGTTTTTTTTCGCAAAAAAAAGATGGTGAAAATCCTTAATCTATATAGGTACCGTATGATCGAGAAAAAACGGCGTCAGCGATGGCTATGGAATGAAGATCGCTGTCATTTTATATGTAAATTAATGGTGGGTTCATGCAGCCAAATAAAATAAAATAAGAATAAAATAAAATAAGAAATAAGGAATTCTTATTTATGTGCGTTCATACAGTCAAATAAAATAAAATAAGAAATATACATTTGCTCATGCGCAGTACGATGAGGCTGGATAAAAGTTAACTTTTACGATTGTTTATACTAATTTTACCATTTATAGTATATTTATTTATTCGTTGCCTACTATATTATACATTTTACTTATGTGAAATTATAAAATAAATTAAATCCAAACTGAAAATATTTGTAGGTTAGAATTAAGCGTGCGCAAAGCCGTTTTCACATAAAATAAAACAAGAAGTTAAAAGATAAAGACTTCTTATTTTATTTGTTATTTTATTTGGCTGTATGAACGCATGTACGGTATCCCATATAACCAACTTTCTTATTTTATTTTATTTTATTCTTATTTTATTTTATTTGGCTGTATGAACTCACCATTATATGAGAAATGTCATTGATGTTCATTTCCCAGCCAACGGGACGCCGTTTTTTTTCGATCATACGGTATAATTCCTTAATCTCAGATATTACCATAGTTACGGCTTTACTCTATGGTTACAGCAATAAATGGGATGCAAATACAGAAAAAATCCGGTGGCTCTCAAAATTTTTTCAAAAAAAAAATCAATTTTTGTTTAAATTTTCAAACTTAAATAACTCAGTTCTTTTGGATTTATCTGAAAAATGGTAAAGAGAAAATATGTTTCTTTTATCGAGATCTACCAGCCACGAAAATATTTACATTTATTTAAGACTCACCATATTATAAAATATAAACATGAAATGAACAAAAAATCGAGTCCAAAAAAATACAATGCTACTAAATAAATTTTCCAAGTAAATCTAATTTTGCTATATCAGAATATATCCATCGATATGATATTAACGAACTTATTACAGCTATTTATGAATGAGAGGCTCAGTCTATAATTTATTTTAAGTCTATGAATCAAACTAATGTCTTCTTTTTGTCCTATAATATGTTATAAAGTTTTACTTACTTTATTTTCTGAGTCCAACATGACCGGTATCCCAGTTGTCGTGATGAGTTGTGGTGTTGTAATTATAGTGTGAAGAGATGAATTCTGGCTTGGAGATGTATACATTACCGTTGATGTTGGTATCTGGTTATCAGAAGTGAGAAATTTTGCCTAAAAAACTTCCAAAATTACCCACTCTTATGAGTTATAATGACTAACCAACCTGTAACACAACCGGTTGTATAAGAGGGCCTTTCGAATTTTGCTTTGCGTTTGGAGTTTTCTTATTAGGAACTTGCTGAGACTGTTGTAGAATAATATGTTGATTCGTCTGTATCGGTAATGCACTGTAAACGACATGTTGTGGTTTCTGGGAAACCGAAGACGACACCAAAACTGTTGGTGCTTGAGACTGAGTCTGAATATTTGGTTGGATATTTTTGAAGGGCAACGAAGGTAACTGATTAACAACAGGTTGACTATTATCAGGGTATAGTGTACTTTGTGTTAGGTCTGGGACATTCTGGTATTTGGGAGATAATTGTGGGGTAACAGAGGAGCTAAACGAGGAGCCGTCGCTTTGATAGGCACTGTCGTTTGGGGATAAAGTTGCCGGATCCAAAAACGGGCTGTTTTGAATGTTATCTAAGTCAAAATCCATTGGCAGTTCCCCGATCTGGGACAATAGGGCATCATCCTCAAAAAATTCACTTTTCAAAATATCTGAAAACAGTAGTCATAATAAACTTTATCGCGATCACTAATGTAATATTAGTAAATATTGATATAAATTACCTAGAATTTTACATAAAATAAGATTCACTCACCGTCTAAACCCGCCAAGTCTTGCATAATGTTAAAATCCCCTTGCGGAGAAAAACTGGGGACGTTTTCAGCCATCCCCGGCTTTTTTATTATTATTTTTGCTTGGACTTATTTTACCGGACCTTCTTTCGCGATCACCACACACATTTTCAGCGAATCAAATGTCACTTTGAAATCGTATGATGTTTGACGTCATCGAACCATACGCCATAAAATAGCTTAAAGATTCCTACTATGGTGCATCAAACAGGCCATTTCTTTTGACATAAGCTTAAGGCTCTATTTAATAGATGTCGCACGAAAGAAAAAAATTACAAATTTCTATAACGGCGGCAAGCTGGCGGCAAGCTTTGGCGGCAATATGGGCGGCAAGTAATGATGGAAATGTCCACAGATGATTTTGTATATGTAAAATGTTGAATGTTATACATAGACAACGGAATAAAATAAATGTTATTTCTCTGTCCATGATGTTGTACTTATTTTGAAGAGACGACATTTTTTTTTTGATACAGTAAAGTATATTTTTCAAAGTAAATTTTTATCAAAGCCAGCTAATTTTTCTCTCGTATTTTTTAAACCGTTAAGAATTTTGAAATATATACCTGCTCTATATACAAAAAATTGGCGCCGGGAGGCACGTATAACCGCCCATACTAAAATATGTTAATATCTCGAAAACTGCGACTTTGACTGATTTTGATGTTATTGCAAATTTTGTTGCAAATATTATTCCTAATTTTAATTTGAAAACCGCGTTTCGCTAGCTACTGTTATTTTGGAGTTACGATTTTTTAAAATTTTTAACCCCCTCCCATACCCCCTTATCAACCCCCCACCCCCACCAAAAACTAATGGCCAGATTCTCGGGTGCCACAGTATTTTTGTGGCAAATTTGGTTAAAATCGGTTCAGCGGTTTTTCAGTTATCGTGTTACAGACGGCAGACAGACAGACCGACAGACAGACCGACACCATGAAAATATTTTGTATTTATTTATTTATGACCCAAATAACTCATTTTGAGTGAAATAAAAAAAAAAATTTTTTGCCGATACTAATAGCCTACCATACCTATTGGTATGGTCGGCCAAAAATGTTCATTTTTTAATTCCCCATCTATTAAAAAAATATACAGTGTGTACCGTTTAAAAAAAAAGAAGAAAAATTATTTTATATTTTAGAAAGTTTCGCGTAGAATTTTGAACACCCTGTATGATTTAAGATTACGATATTTATATCAAAAGTATAGACCATCTAAAGTAAATACCTTATAGTTTTGAGTTCAGAACAGTTCTTCTATTTGCAATAATTTGTTAAGGAACGGCTGAAAAATATGTATTTTTTGTTTATTTCTCTGAAACTATCGAAATATATTTACTCATATCTTTTTATTCTTGGAGCTACAGAAGCCCGACGCACTATTGCCGGACCCTGTATACAAAAGTGTTTAAATAGCATACTATTAATATTCTAATAATTGTGATATTCTGTACATTAGTGAGATTTCCAGCAGTTTTTTTTGCACTTATATTTATTTACACGTTATACAGGGTGAGTCTTAAATAAGTTTTAATAATGTTTTCTCGCGAAAAACTTTTTTTGAAAATTTGGAATTTTTTGAAAAAAAAATTGAAAACTTTTTTAGTTAAAAAGTATAATTTCTTGATAATATGGCAAGCTAGCAAGTAGATTAAATTTACAAGAAAGCAGTGGCGGCTCGTAGGTAAAAAATTAGGTGAAGACTTAATTTCTTTTAAATTGCGCCGCAGGCGAAATTTTTTTTGGCGCATTCACCATTTTGTCAACATTTTTTTTGTTATTATTTATAGGTACACCATATATATTATAGGTACAATACCTATAATATTTTCGTTTTAGTTTGGGCTAAAACGCATTAACTAAAAAGAGCTATAAACCTATAATGCTACTTTTTCGGCCGGAATTAACGATGCGGTGGAGCTATTACGCAGAAGTCCGCCCGGAAAAAAATAAATAACTTATAAAAAATTACCATTTTATTGTTTAGATGCATGTAAATATATTAAACTAAATTAATATTTTAAGCAGTTTTTTCTTTAATTTGAGTATTTTTTCGGTGAAGCGCCCTTTTACCTACTGCACCTGACGAGCCGCCACTGCAAGAAAGAAAATCCAGAAAAGATCCAGTTCAAAATTTTAGCAAAAAATAATTTCTTTTGGCAATTTTCAGAGTAAAATAACTCGGTTATTTCGGATTTATTTGAAAAACGGTAAAGAGAAAGCACTTATTCAAGACTCACCCTGTATATTATAGGATTTAGAAACAATATAAAATTTATATGAGTTTTTTTAATAATTATTATATTGCGTCATTTAATACAGATTTTTCGTTAACAATATCTGCTTTTAATCCTCCTACATTCGTCTGTATCGGTAATCGGTAATGCACTGTAAACGACATGTTGTGGTTTCTGGGAAACCGAAGACGACACCAAAACTGTTGGTGCTTGAGACTGAGTCTGAATATTTGGTTGGATATTTTTGAAGGGCAACGAAGGTAACTGATTAACAACAGGTTGACTATTATCAGGGTATAGTGTACTTTGTGTTAGGTCTGGGACATTCTGGTATTTGGGAGATAATTGTGGGGTAACAGAGGAGCTAAACGAGGAGCCGTCGCTTTGATAGGCACTGTCGTTTGGGGATAAAGTTGCCGGATCCAAAAAACGGGCTGTTTTGAATGTTATCTAAGTCAAAATCCATTGGCAGTTCCCTCGATCTGGGACAATAGGGCATCATCCTCAAAAAAAAAAAAATTCACTTTTCAAAATATCTGAAAACAGTAGTCATAATAAACTTTATCGCGATCACTAATGTAATATTAGTAAATATTGATATAAATTACCTAGAATTTTACATAAAATAAGATTCACTCACCGTCTAAACCCGCCAAGTCTTGCATAATGTTAAAATCCCCTTGCGGAGAAAAACTGGGGACGTTTTCAGCCATCGCCGGCTTTTTTATTATTATTTTTGCTTGGACTTATTTTACCGGACCTTCTTTCGCGATCACCACACACATTTTCAGCGAATCAAATGTCTTTTAATCCTCCTACATTCCTATCAACCAGATCATATTTTTTAATGAAATTATTGATTAAACTGGACAATTCTTCTCCTGGATGATTTAAATGCACATGATGAGCACCCTCGACATAATGGTGATCGATATCAACGACTGTTCTTTTCAGAACATCCACAACTTCATATGCATTATGCAACCCTGTTTTTTAAACAGAATGCTCTTGAGGCGCTGCTAATCCTGTGCTGAATTTCAGAGTCGATATTGGCCTTTTCCTAAATAATACTGCCGAGGTAATTGAATTCCGCTACATATTCCAACAGCTCATCTCCGATTTTTATAGCATTGTTGTGATCTTCCGGGGGAGTGCACATTTTTTTTTTAGTTTTATCGATGTTCAGCTTAAGTCCCAAGGCCTCGTATGCCCATGTATATGTGTTCAACATTTCTTGCAATTGCTGTAACGTATTTGCAACTAGAGCACAATCATCAGCGTATTGAAGTTCTGTGATGAATTTTGTACGTGTTTTTTGCCCTGAGTCTTTTTATGTTGAACAGACCGCCGTCGTATCTGTATCTAATGCCCAAACCTCTTTCCTGCAGTTTGCTGTCCACTATAATGGAGAGCGCTGCCATGAATATATTGAATAGGAGGGCGCTAAGACACATCCCCGCTTAACGCCTGTGTTTGTTAGGAAGGGATCGCTCAGTGATCCATGATATGACACCAGGGGTGGATGGGCCATATGGGAAAAAGGGGAAAATTCCCGGTGGGCCGGTCCCAATCAGAGCTCAAAAAAGATTATATTAGCAATTGTTTTTAAACTTAAACACCAATTTGTGAAATAACTATTATAAAATGTCTTTCTCTGGGAGGCTTATAATTTCAATAATAATCATCTGTTGTTTGTTCGGTTTGAAAATTTTTATTATACAAGATGAGTCTATAAGTGCAATTATTTTCAGGGCTGGTAGATCTTAATAAAATAAACATAATATATTCTCTTTATCGAGTTCAAATAAGTCTAATCGAGTTATTAAAGTTTGGAAATTGAAAAAAATAGATTTATTTTTAAAAAAATTTAAGCCACCTCAGTTTTCCGGTATTTGCATCTCTTTTAGTGCCGTAATATCAGAGATTAAGAAACTACACTGTGGAAAAATTTGCGGTGAACAAGAAGTTCTAAAAAGTTTTCTAAATGCTCGATTTTTAACATCTTTTTTTGTAAAAAAAAACTCATCGTCGAGTTCCTGGGGTCGAAATATATACCACCCCTGAAAATATTTGCACTTATATGACTCACCCTGTATAGTTTTGCCAACTATTCTTTTATTAATATCTAGACTGGCAGCAAAAAAAAGAATGAATAGCATTAGGTAAATTTAAATAGTCTCGATCTAAATGTATACTAAGAATACGGTAGCGTAGATTGACAACTGGGGGCCTCGGTGCAATATTTTTCGAGCTCCCCTTTGTAAAAAAGTAGACGAATTTGACGCGAACTCTGCGGTTGACGGAGAAAACATATCTACCTATACTTGGTTTGAATTGGGGACGGACTGGAAAGCCAAGTCTGAGAACTAAAAGCCAAGTCTAAATTGTTGTTTAAAATGTTGTTAAAATGAATTTGTAAAACATTACTGAGACAGCAGAGAAGAGTTAAATAGGGTTTAAACTAGATTAGATAATAAAATATTAATATGTCTCGAAAATCCAAATATTCTTATTATGGACTGTAACATGGCATTACATGAGAACACATTTATATCCACTGGCTAGGTATTGCCTAGGTTTTTTTCGTTTGAGTCATGGCATTATCATACAAGATGCCAAATGTAGAAAAGTATAGAGGAAAAGTTTCGTGATAAGAACTATATAATAACCTAAAAAATGCTGCAGTTTTAATGCCGACCGCGGTTCATTCAGTTACGGTTCACACGTGTACACGAGGAGGCTGCGGTTGTAGCAGAAAAGAGAGAATTTCTTTGTACAATGTGTAAGAAGTATATACCCGAAAAGCTAAAAGTAATGTATTTCACAGAGGATTGGGTCAGCTGAACCGAATGACTCAGGAAGTCTTATAGTGTTTCAAAATCGTGACTCAAAATCGTAGCTTATTCAAGATCAAATTACCGTTATCGATAATGGAAATAAAGTAGTAGAATCCTGTAAAACTGTAAAATTGGACGTACCTGGAGGTACCTCTCCGCTTTCCCATATGACATCGAAGAGAGCCTTAAGATGACCAATAAGTTCTTTACTTGCACACTTATAGATTCCCGTCGGAATCGCGTCACAGCCAGCTGATTTGTTGTTTTTAAGCTGTTTTATGGAGTCCTTTATTTCCTGTTCTGTTATTGGAATGTCTAATACATCGAGGCTGTTATACTGAGGTATTATGTTGAGTGCTTCTATATTCGGGTTGTTTTCTTGGTTAAGGATATGGCTGTAATGCTTTTTCCAGCGGTTTCTATTTTGCTCTTCCTCTTTTAGAAGTTCGCCATTTTGTGCCATGATTGGGCATCTTGCCTTCTTAGTTGGACAGTATACTTCTTTTACAGCCTCAAAGAATTTACGATAGTCGTGATGCGTAGCATACTCCTGAATCTGACTAGCTTTTTGCGACCACCATTTATCCTTTAGTTGACGCAGGTTTCTTTGGAGCGTGTTGTTGGCTGCCTTAAAGTTGTCTGCTAGTCTTGGATTGTGTGGATTTGCAGTGACGGCTTGATGTGCTCTATGCTTTTGTTCTAACAAAGCCTGTATATGCGGTTGATTTTCGTAAAACCAGTCTGGTTGTTTCTTTTTGTTGGATTTTCCCAGTACTGCTTCGCTGGTTTTGTGAATCGCATCTCTTAGTTGTGTCCAGGCATGTTCAGCATCCACGATTGAGATTGAAGTTATCAGTGGAAGTGATTCTTTGATGGCTTCCTGGAGGGCGTCGGCGGTATCGTTGTTCTCTAGACCCCGTACGTTCAATCTGGTCATGTAGCTTTGCTTTTTACAGTGTGGATGTTTGGGTTTTAACTGGATTTTCATTTTTGAGATTAAAAGTCGGTGGTCAGTGCCACATTCGGCATCTACTCTGGCTTTTGTGAGACTGACATTTTTTAGGTGCGTCCTTCGAACGATTACGTGGTCCAATTGGTGCCAATGTCCTGATCTCGGATGTTTCTCGCCTTTAAACTTGTCCTTCAGCATGAACCACGTATTGGTGATGCAAAGATTATACTCTGTGCATGTTGTTAATAAGCGTTCACCATTGTTATTTACGTTTCCTATTCCATGTTTTCCCAATACGTCAGGCCATATTTCTTGTTGTTTGCCGACACGGGCATTAAAGTCACCTAGCAAAATGATTCGTTCGTGCTTTGGAATTTGTTGGAGTATATTTTGCAGAGCTTTTTCTTACTCCTGTGTGTGTAAAAAGTATAAAAGACATTTTCTGACGATTTTAGTGAGTGACATATATCCTTATCCTCAATTTTAGCGTCTAGGGTAGGAGCGTAGGCACTTATGATGTTGACGTAAGTTTTGTCTGATATGGGGTACCTTAGGGTCATAAGACGGTCGGAGACACCAATAGGTACTTCTGTTAATTTGGTGGCGATTTCATTTTTGATTGCAATGCCTACGCCATGAATTCTCCTGTGTGTTGCCGGGTGACCCTTCCAAAAGAAGGTGTAATGCTCCTCAGTGTGACTACCTTCATCCCCAAAAAGCGGGTTTTGCTAAGAGCGGCAACATCTATATTTAGTCGGTGGAGTTCCTGTGAGACCAGTGCTGGTCTCTCTGGTCGATTGGAGTTTGTCCTGTCCAGTAGAGTGCGGACGTTCCACGCCGCAAACGTAAAACATTGACGATGTTTAGTTCTCCGATGATACGCTCGAGTAGGCACCCCCTCCCGGAGATCCGATCGAGGGGGTATTTTACCTCCGGACGATGATTTTGTCCTACTCGAATGTTCCATCTTTGATGAGTGTAAGCTGCGTAAAAAGGTTAAAACTGTGACGGTTACGCTGCCACACAGTTTGGCTGCAACTGTAGCACGGGATGGCTATGGCACAGTGAGGACTGCGACGATAGTTCCCTTGTGCTACGCTCTCGGCCGGCTAGGAGTAGTTTACCACTCCTCTTCCCCAGGAAGGTGGTAGGTCTGAGGGTTGTATAATGATATACCGCCTATACTCGGTCGTCAGAGCCTCGTTTGTTGGGGTGCACCACGGGGTGCCAAACAAACAGGGTGCACCACGTGAAGGTGAGGTTGACTTTTGGGTAAGCTAGGCTATATGTATCGCTTCAATACCCCTTGCACCCCAAGCGTGTAAAACTTCTTATTCCTGTGTGTAAAAAAAGTATAAAAGACATTTTCTGACGATTTTTAGTGAGTGACATATTTCACAAAGGCTAAAAAATGAAGATTTTTTAATTTTCTTTCCTTCGCTAAAAATCGGATTTTCGTTTAAGAATCATGATCATATTATTTTTTCATGTCATCAGTCTTCTAAGAATTAGAAAAAAATATCAGCATTAATTAATTTCGAATTTTACTATAAAAATAAAATTGAAAAAAAAGGTTTTTTTGAAAATCTCGAAAACCGTTTGAGTTAAAGAGCTAAAAATTTAGGTGAATTATTTTGATTCGACACCAAATCGATCCCCTGAGTGCGAGTCAAAAAAGCCGCACAGGCAGATTTCCCATATTAATCCGGCTATACCCTTTACCTGTGAGCCGTGAAGAGTCAATATTGGTCTTTTGTCAGTGGGACCCCACCATTTTCCTCGGATATTGCCCCACGGGACCGGTATAGCAACTTCCTTAAACTGCTTTTTATTGGAAAGTTGGCGATAGCTTTGTCTCTGGAAACAACATTTTGCCAGCGATCTAAAAACGGTCATTTGGACCTAACAACAGTTCTACAATAAGTACACTAAATTACAAAATACAAACTAATCTTTTATCACCTATATACCCCTCTTTTGCTTTGTAAAAAATCAATTTTATATAATTTTTTATTGCATATCATTATTCGCAAAATAGAAGATAGAGATAGATAATTTTTGGTCTATGGCCTGTCATAAAAAATATCGATTTTACATGAACGATTAAAAAATGTACACTTGGTAACAGATTTTCGGAAGAATAACTTTGATGATATTTTGACCTCAATTTTGGCAAAAATCAGTTTATGGTCAATATAATCCTCAATCATCTAGGAAGGATTAGAATAAAAGGATTATATTAAATTTGTCATTATAATCCTGATTACAAACAATAATTATTAACCATTAATTAAATTCCTAAACAGTGGAAATTACCAGAACAGTAGATATTATACAGGGTGTCCCAGAAATAAGTGCAAGTATTTTAAGGGGTGGTAGATCGCGCTAAAAGAAATTTATGGATGGTTCCATTTAAAATTGTTATTTTAAATGGAACACCCAGTATATTATTACATTTTTGGAACCTACTCTCATATCTCATCATTTTTCTATTATACTAACCTATATGTATCTCTTATAGTTTTCGAGATAAATAATATATGTGTAAAGTAAAATTGACAAAAATATAATTTCGAATAAGCATTGGTAAAATCACGAATTAAATATTTTTAAAGTTGAAATTTGGGCTATAACGAAAGTCGGAAACACAAGTCGTTAGAAAACTAGAATTAATTTAATTGATATTATCTGACTTAATCTATACTAATATATAAAATCCTTAAGTGACTGACATACTGATTAATCACGATCCTGCTCAAACCACTCAACGTAAGAAGCTCAAGTTTTGGCATACAGGTTGATTCTAGGGTGTAGAGGTTCGATAAGAAGGGATTTTTCGAAATACCAGTTCCAAGAGGGTGAAATCACCCCTCAAATATTACAATATTTTTTATTTAAAAAACGGTCAAGTTTCCGAAAAAACGCTTAAACACGTATATTTTATTTTTTTTACATACTTTAAGATTTTTTAAAAATGTATACAGGGTGGTTCAAAAAATCTAGTCATTGATTAATCACGATCCTGCTTAAAGCGCTTGACGTAAAAAGCTGATTTTTGGAAAACAGATTGACTTTAGGGTGTAGGGGTTCGATAAGAAGGGATTTTTCGAAACTCGAATTCTAAGGGGGTGAAACTATCCCTCAAATATTAAAATATTTTTTATTTAAAAACCGGTGAGTTTTTCGGGAAAACTCTTAAACACGTATATTTTATTTTGTTGTTTTACACATTTTAAGATTATTTATAAATTTATACAGGGTGTTCCATAAAATATGACCACTGAGTAATCACAATTCTGCTTAAACTGCTTGACGTTTAAAGCTGATTTTTGGCAAACGGATTGACTGTGGGGTGTAGAGGTTCGATAAGGAGGGGTTTCTCGAATCTCAAATTCCAAGAGGGTGAAAAAGCCCCTCAAATATTACAATATTTGTTATTTAAAAAACGGTTAGTTTTTCGGGAAAACGCTTGGACAAGCATAATTTATTTGTTTTTTTTACATATTTTGAAATTTTTTAAGAAATCATACAGGGTGTTCCAAAAAGTTATTCTTAAGTAATTTCTTAACCACGATTCTGCTTAAACTGCTTGACGTAAAAAACTTATTTTTGGCAAACGGATGTTTCGAAAGTCACATTCCAACGAGATGAAACTACCCCTCAAATATTACCAAGTTATATAATAATATCGCCGTATTGTTTTTTCTCATGCTGACATAAATGTAAGAAAGTTTTATCCAGTTTATATGTTAATGGAAATTCTTGCTTTGCTTTATCATCACCATTACAAATGACTAATTCGACGCGAACGAAGTCGCTGGTACACGCTAGTTAATTATACGATAATTCAAAGTTTATGAATTATAGTCAAACTTCTTTAATATTATTTTGAATGACCCGAAAAAAAATAGAAGGATAACCTACAAAAAGAAATAAGATCACATCAAAATCATATAGAATGTAAAAAAATGCAACACAATTCCTCCGCTATAAAAAGTTATGAGATCTCATGTAAAACCAAGTCAGTTTATTTTATTTGGTCTCTCTTTAAGCACCTATTCAACAATTTTGTTATAAATTGTTAGTATCAATATTAGTCATCTTTATTTCTATAATAATTATAATGACTTGGCAATTGCACGATATAATAATATATAGTAATTAAAAAACTTTATTCTTAAGTGCATCGTTTAGATTTCCTTAGTAATCGAAATAGTAGATTATTATATTCTTTTTTATAATTATGGTGCCGTGCATGCAATTGCCAAGTCATTATAATAATTATAGAAATAAAGATAACTAATATTGATACTAACAATAATTTATAACAAAATTGTTGAATAGGTGCTTATAAAGAGAGACTAAATAAAATAAACTGACTTGGTTTTACATGAGATCTCACAACTGTTTATAGCGGAGGAATTGTGTTGCGAGACTTGGCATTTTTTTACATTCTATGATTTTGATGGGATATACCGGGTGCGTCTCAAAAGTGGCTCACCCCCTATAACTTTTTTATTTTTTCAGTTAAAAAAACGAGATTTGGTATGTTAGTATTATAACATAAATTAGGATTTTGGGACGTATTCAATTGTTTTCGGTCACTTCCTGTTTCACCGGAAATGACTACAACTTTTGATTTTTAAATGGCACCCTCGGTATTTTTTTACTTTATTCGATAGAAAATAACACTCTGAATAAAATGACATCTCATATGTCAACTTTTGACATTTTCGCATATGGTTTATTTGAAATTATTATAGCTTGCGGTTCGTAACGAAAATTTGACTGGAAATATCAAGTGTGTGGTATCAAATTATTCGTAAAAAAATGCATTTTCCAAATATGCTAATCAGCTATCCTTGTTCCTTGAGATATGATTAAAAATACGACTTGAGCATTTTCTAACTGGCCAGGACAAGACACTAAAAACATTAGACGATCAAATCTATTTTTCCAAGGCTCCTGATTAAAAATTAGTATTTTTAACATAGCCATGGCACTCTAGATTGAATTTTAAAATACGATTTTTTATTAAGCGAAAATGTCAAAAGTTGACATGATATGTCATTCTTTTCAGAATATCATTTGCTATCGAATAAAATAAAAAAATACGGAGGGCGCCATTTAAAAATCAAAAGCTGTAGACATTTCCGGTGAAACAGGAAGTGACCAAAAACAATTGAATACGTCAATGAATCCTAATTTATGTCATGTACTGACATACCAAATCTCGTTTTTATAAAAAAAAAATAAAAAAGTTATAGGGGTGATCTATTTTTGAGACGCACCCGGTATATATTATAGGATTTAGAAACAAGGGTATTTTAAAATAGATGTGTAAGAACTTATATGAGTTTTTTTTAATAATTACATTGCGTTATTTAATATAATTCTTTCATCAATAATAATATCTGCTTTTAATCCTCCTACGTTCCTATCAACCAAATCATATTTTTTAATAAAATTATTAATTAAACTGGACAATTCAGCTCCTGGATTATTTAAATGCGCATGATGGGTACCCTCGACGTAATGGTGTTCAAAATCAGGTACAGTTCTTTTCAGAACTTCCATAACTTTATAGTAGTTCTCCTTCGGTTCAAAATAACCGAAACCTTTTGCTTTAGCTATAAAAACGGGACATCGAATGTACTGAGCCATATAAACACTTTCTTCCTGGCTAACGTATATAAAAGCTTCTGCTTTCAAACGCGGATCTCTGGTAAAGTAGTACTTGTCGGGTTGCGTTTTAGACCGAGCAATACTTCTTTCCAAAAGATAATGAGCCACATCGGTATGGATTGATCCATGATTCGGTTGGATAACTTTTTTCCTTATTTCTTCCATCGTGTAACTGGGTGGCTCATTATTTTCCATCACTAAATCAGAATTTTTGATGAAGGTGTCGAATGATTTGGCTAATCGATTTTTCCTGAACTTGGGTATAAATTGTTTAGCTCCGTCTATGCATATTAAAAAATCGACTTCGTCTGGATACATCATGGTGTACGTGAAAGAGGTAATACCTCCGAAGGAGTGACCCATCAAAGTAAGTTGTGACCAGCCCAGATGTTTCTTAGTGTATTGAATTGCTGATAAATATGTTGTAATGTTATAGGGTACGCCTACGGGTAATCTGGACGAATAACCATGTCCAGGCAGATCTATTGCCAGGAATCCGACGTCGTTATTCAGTAAAGGTATTAATCTATCAAAGGAACCACAGTTATCCTAAAAAAAAATGTTGAGCAATACTATTTAATTGAAAAAAATATACAGGGTGGTCCAAACTGTATTCCGGAAACTTCGGCAGCATATAAAAATAAGTAAAAAAGTTCGTATAAATGTATGTTCTAAAATGCTTAGTTTCGGAGGTACAGGGTGTGGAAGTTTCATTTTCATTTTGATTTTTTCCAAATAATTTCTGAAGCAATGTCAATATTTGGATGAAAACTGGTGTCTGGGAGTTTTTTGACTTAAAGCGCTTGACGCAAAAAGCTGATTTTTGGAAAACAGATTGACTTTAGGGTGTAGGGGTTCGATAAGAAGGGATTTTTCGAAACTCGAATTCTAAGGGGGTGAAACTATCCCTCAAATATTAAAATATTTTTTATTTAAAAACCGGTGAGTTTTTCGGAAAAACTCTTAAACACGTATATTTTATTTTGTTGTTTTACATATTTTAAGATTATTTATAAATTTATACAGGGTGTTCCATAAAATATGACCACTGAGTAATCACAATTCTGCTTAAACTGCTTGACGTTTAAAGCTGATTTTTGGCAAACGGATTGACTGTGGGGTGTAGAGGTTCGATAAGGAGGGATTTCTCGAATCTCAAATTCCAAGAGGGTGAAAAAGCCCCTCAAATATCAATATTTGGATGACTCAACGTCAATATTTGGATGAAAACTGGTGTCTGGGAGTTTTTTGACATGAGAAATTTAATTTTTCATGACTCCTACTCCTATTTGTAAGGGGCGCCACCTACATGTGTTTTAACTGTTTTGAAGAGTAATAAATTTTCGTATTAAACTACTGAGTGAAAAATATAAATTTTCGTGACTTTTTACGTAAAAAATGTCTCTTGGTAAAAATCGCTACGAGCAACCGATGAAACTTCTACACCCTGTATCTATGAAACTAAGCATTTTAGGACATACATTTATACGAACTTTTTTACTTGTTTTTATATGCTGAATAGCTGAAAAAAGTTTGCGGAATACAGTTCGGACCACCCTGTATATTTATTGAAATTATTTTACCTGCCATCCATGAAGAGTCAATATTGGTCTTTTATCAGTGGGACCCCACCATTTTCCTCGAATATTACCCCACGGCACTGGTATGGCAACTTCCAAAAATTTCTTTGCGTTGGAAAGTTGACGGTAATGATGTTTCCGAAACCAAAGCTTTTTCATTGTCTTAAAAATAGCCATTTTTGTGAGAAGAATATTAAAAAATCATGCGAGTACACTAGATTCAATTCGATATCTAATTTCGATTTTGTTGAAAGAAAATTAATAATATATCGGTAAATATTATTTATTAAACTGCTCAAGTAATTATTTATCAAATAAAAAACTAAATTTTTGGTCTTTGGCCTATAATAAACATAAATTACACGTTAATTGTTGAAAAAATAAAGTAAAATCAAAAATAATTGGCATAGAATAAGTGATCATTTATATTCCTGCTTAGGTAAACTATATCCGAGATCTATTAAACTGAAGAGGTTGTATCACGGTGACCATGGAGGGTAGAGGTACGAGGTACGATCCTCCATAGCTGTGACTCAGCAACCCCCTACCGATATGTTTATACAGGGTATCAAAAATAGTGTATCTAACTTTCGGTGGGTGATTCTACAGATAAAAATAAAACAAAAAATTTCTATGAAGAACATACAAGGTGTCATTGAAATGGTGTAAAAAAAATCGGGTGGTGATAGTACTCCTAAAAATAGTAAAAAAAGTTCCAATAAGTATAGGGCGGAAAATGCATATTAAGGGAGTTAGGGGCACAGAAAGGGTGAATTTAAAAAACGGTTGTTTTGAAATTGTAGGCTTAAAAAACGAGATAAAATTTCGAAAAAAATCCTCAGCCATAAATTTTGACCCTAAATCAAATGGTGATACTTAAAAATTATTTGGAAAAGCGGAAAGGGCAGTTTTTGCAAGGGTGGGGGGTTGTTTCCTGAATAACTTTTTTGAGGTTATTTTTTTTGCAACGTGGGTTTATTTTTTGAAAACTATAATATTTATAAAACTACTATGAAAACTAATAATATTTATGTCATATACTAACATACCAGATCTCGTTTTTTTATCTGAAAAATAAAAAAGTTATAGGGGTGAGCCACTTTTGAAACGTACCCGGTATACTGGTGGTACTTCTGTTATCCTTACAGTGTGCTTACAGATTCCATCACTGACGCGGTTTCATTTTTATCATACTGTAGCTTCAGCATATGATCGAAAAAAAAACGGCGTCAGCGATAGTTATAAAAAGGTCACTGTTAATTTATATAGGGAATGTAACCGATTGTCATTTTCAAACCAACTACACGCCGTTTTCTCGACGTTACGGTATATTTAATGTTATACCTTACTATCGAAAAAAAAACGGCGTCAAAGATGGCTAGCAAATGGCAATCAATGATAATTTTGGCGAGGTCAACCGCTAGACATCGTATCTCAAAACGTTTTATTTCTTTAATCTTGCTAAACTGGTGTTAATTTTTATGTCAATTTTTAGCAAATGAAACCTAGAGATTGACAACGATAAAATTATAGTCTGTCATTTCCCAGCCGTCTGCGACGCTGTTTTTTTTCAATCATACAAAATTACGCTTATAAAAAGTAACGGCCAATTAGGAACATTTTTTCTAACCTTAAATATTCTAGAATAAAACATAGTTTACTTAAAAAATAATTTATTCACCAAGTTACTCTTGACTGGCGTCTACATTTTCAGTTTGTAGTCCTTTGAATGTGGCAACTGGTACGTATGTTATGAGCGTGTACAATTTGTTTACAGAGTCTTCATCATCGTTTCTTCTGCGAGACAGACGTACTCTGACACGGAAAGGAACATTCCTAAAAATAATTTATTGTTTATGTAACATACCAAAATAAACATTCAGTGGTAATTCAGTTTTTATTACAAGAATGCTGAGAACAAAAGAGCCACACAAAAAAGCTGGTGGCTTTTTTGTTCACAGCACTGTGACAGTGTCTGTGGCTGTTAAAAAGTGCGCTTTGAATGGTAAAGGCTAATTAAATTGTAATCTCCCATAAGAATGGCCGGTACCGAATGGCCTGTCGATATCCAAAGCTATTTTGATTATAAGATACATTTGGTTTTGATACCATTTCACTTTATAATCAACTCAATTTTAACTAATGTCAAAAGGACCTAATAATCATATTAATTACTTACGGAGTCCCGTATATAAAATCTTCATAATTACAATTGCTTACCTGATTCCTTTAGACCAGAGTTGTTTATTTAATCTTGTATCGATTCTAACATCAGGGGTACCCATTTGTTTCTCTGCAAATTTACGAATTTCTTTGATCGCTCTAGGAGCCCTCTTTTTAAATCCGATTCCATGTAACCTCTTGTGCAGGTTTACGGTGTATTCACGAGTCACTACCTCGTTTATTGCAGATTTACCTTTTTTCTCTCCTTTTGGTTTTGCCATTTTGCTGCAACAGAAAATATAACCTTACAGTTTTTGATAAATTTGGCATTTTCGGTCGAAGAAATGTATCAGAGTTCATGATTCTTTTAAAACATAAAGCACCAAGCTATCATTATTATTAATTAACTAAACCTGATATTAAATATTTGCAAGGATGATTAAAGATTTATAAAATTTTAAAACTTACAAACCTTTTTGTAAATATACAAAATTGTGAAAGAAGGTCGGAAAAAAAGAAATCTGCTTTACCGATACAAAATGACAAATGACAAACTGGCATTAAGATTTTTGTTGTGTCTTCTATTTCATAGATGGCACAAGTAAATAATAAATTGAATATCTCATAGAGGTCTCTGTTAGTCACTTAATTTGAATTTAGGGACTATTTAATTTTTTATTTTAAAATAGTCCGCCTATTTTTAATCATAATATTATATTAACGTTTTTTTGCTAATGTTATTACAATTAGACATGCATGGATCAGTAAAGTCACATTCAAACTTTATTAAAACATTTTATACAGTATGATCGAAACAAACGGCGTCTAGTTGGCTTGGAAATGACGATCGATGGCATTTCCTATATAGGAAAGAAATTATACCGTGGGAAAATTTGGCGGTGAACAGGCAGTTCTAAAAAGTTTTCGAAAAATATACAAAGAAATTTAAAAGAAAATGCACGATTTTCAACATCTTTTTTTAGCGAAAAAAACCTCATAGACTTGTTCCTGGGGTCGAAATATACCACCCCTGAAAATATTCGCACTTATTTAAGACTCACCCTGTATATATTTTGTAAGGGCCATTAATTGTAAAAAATATTTGAGAATGTGACATCTCCCGCTGTGTCCCGTTTCTATTTTGCGAAAGCCACCACCTGATGAGTTTGGGTTAACGGTACCCTTAGAAAAAGATCTAAAAATATCAGATAGTGTATCCCGGACGAAATTTGATGAGGATGGTGAATATTGGTGAATGCCATAAGCGTACAGGTAAATTTTTGACCTTTTTCCTTTCATTTTTAGGTCGCTGTCATTTTTTATATAAAAATATATGGGGAATATCAGCAATCGTCACTTTAAAGCCGTGATGCTGGATGCCGTTTTTTTTTTCGATCGTACGGTATAACATTACGGTATCATTGGTAGATCAGACAGGTATAAATACGGGAAAGCCAAAATAATTGATAGGAACCAATTTTTCTAGTATACTTTTTTCTGGTTCAATATTTTGAACAAATTAGTAGTTTTTATTAGTAGTTTTAAAAAGTTAAATATTGTTGTAAAAATATTGGTTTGCGTCATGCAAACTATAAATAATTCTTTCATACTAAGGGTTGGCAAAGGTTAGTCTTGGGTCGAGATTTCGGTATGTAAGAAGAGTTTATTATTTAAGTTAATTATTTAATAACTACTTGGTTACTTTTGAACCGCCATAACTTTCATAAGTTAATATTGATTAACCATCAGTTAGCATTAAGTTAGCAACCCATATCAGGGCAAACTCTTTGCCTTCAATTTTCTCGAAAACCATCGCTCTGGGTGGTGTGCAACAAGAATACCTTTTTTGTAGGAAAAAGTATGTAGTTGCTCAAAAAATAAACCCATGTTCCAAAAAAAATAACCTCAAAAAAGTTATTCGCAAAACAACCCCCGAATGCTTGCGAAACAACCCTTGCAAAAACTACCCTTCCCGCTTTTCCAAATAATTTTTCAGTATCACCATTTGATTTAGGGTCAAAATTTATGGCAGAGGATTTTTTTTCGAAATTTTATCTCGTTTTTTAAGCCTACAATTGCAAAACAACCGTTTTTTAAATTCACCCTTTCAGTGCCCCTAACTCCCTTAATATGCATTTTCCACCCTATACTTATAGGAACTTTTTTACTATTTTTAGGAGTACTATCACCCCCCGATTTACACCATTTCAATGACACTCTGTATGCCCTAAAGTGCTTCCCGAAGAAGTTACAGAGTCCTCGAAAAGTTAAATAAAAATAATATATTTTGTTTATTTTTAAGGACAATAATAAACCATTTTTCTTGACATTTATTGGTACTCCTACACACATTTTAATGTCAAAGCGAATGGCGATAGTGTAAAATTCCGTAACGGCCCTGAAAGGGTACTTTCCAATAGGGTAGAGAGTACTATACCGGGTGCGTCTTAAAAGTGGCTCACTCCTATAACTTTTTATTTTTTCAAATAAAAAAACGAAATTTGGTATGTTAGTATACTAAGGGCTGGCAAAGGTTAGTCTTGGGTCGAGATTACCGTATGTAAGAAGAGTACAATGCGTTTATAATGTACTGAACTAAGAGAGGACAGTAAACACGTCGCCAAACGTATGAAATAAACCGAGAAACTGTGCACATCGCTAAGAGACGTGGAAGGGGATATAGCAGATTTGTCGCAGTTGACCGGTCGACCCAATCAATACCTCTGTCGGTACTTAAAGTTCTAGGGAAAGGTGTACGTCATGCGTTCAGCTTCACGATTTAATTACGTCTCGTGATACTTAATTTGTTTATTTATAAACGAGTCGTTGTAATTTTCCCTATAGCTTGAATTTTTTTAAGTGCAAGCTAGAAACACTTGCATTTTTTGTAAAAATAAGTGGAATTGAGTGGGTGTTCGATAGTGGTCGCGCTATTAGAACTCTGAATTCAAAAATCGATATCTCGAAATCTATTAGAAATAATAGATTGTAGTTTTTTCTAGAACTTTGTTAATATTTCTGCTGTATTTTCTTTCTAGACAGTATATAGGTATGTGAAAATCTTTATCAATAATAAAATTACACGATTGCTGAAAATTGCTATGCTCTAAAAGTAAATGGATGGATTGTTTATAATTTTTGAATGGAAAAAATAACCTTATCGAATTTTTCTTATGTAAACATATTGTAAAATATCCGATCTTGAAAATAAAAAAAAGTTTGAATATCTAAAGTTGTTCTTGAGTTATGGCCTGTTATGTGTTAAAAAGTTGAGTTTTTAAATTATCGCGATTATTGACGTTTTCTCGTTATAAAAAAAATTGACACCTTAACGATATCCTTATAATTCCATTTGAGACGCTCAGAAACATGTCTAATGATTTTATCTAGATATCTCTTGAAAAAAAGTATTTTAAAAATAAACGGTTTGCGATCGTGATTTTACTTTACTTGATAGGGAAAGGCGTATCGGCAACGCCGCAACAGCACACCGTCGCGCGTCGCGTCGGTCGGCCGCATTTCTCTCACTCCGACTTAATAAGACCCCTATGCGATTTACATCCACACATGTAAATGCCGACCCAAAAGGTAACAGTTGCCAGCACGGTATATCGAGGTAAAGTCATAATCTACAGGTTTTAAAAAACATGTGCCATCTTTCGTGGGGAGATTCCTCACGTAAAAATAAGATTTTTTTATTTTTCATATAAACATAGGTCCAATTCTGCTTTGTTTCGTAGCTACAGGGTGTTAAAGTCTTAATATTTTTTCGATTTATTATAATTTTCTTCCAAGTACTTTTAGAGTTTCGAATGAAATTTTTAGGGTAAAAGTTACTATAAGTGCTGCATATTTTAATGCTAAAAAAGTGTCGACATATTCACCAGGGACGTGTATATGGGTTACACTGGAATATTTTTCCAAAAAGAGCATGTGCACCACAGATAAAAGTTGTCTCTTGATATTTTGTCGATTTCTGCCTCCTTGATGAGATAAACGCAATTTTATTAATTTGTCCTGATCAAAGTCAATAATAGCAACCTTTAAAAAAAAATAATATTATTAACTTGCGAAAGTTCTAATAAGTTCTCATTGATTCCTCATCAAAAATATTAAAAAAAGTTCCTATAAACATGGAATGTATGAAAATGCATAGTTTTAGAGTTACAGGATGTTAAAACTTTTTAAAACTGGTTTTTTTGTAATTATCGTAAATACCATTATTTTTTTATTTGAAATTGCTGTAAGTTGGACTAATAGTAATAATATTTAATAATAAATTCGGTAAAATATATAATTTATTAATTTTATTTTAATTTTATTAATTGTGATTAATAAAATTGCGTTTATCTCATCAAGGAGGCCGAATTCGACAAAATATCAAGAGATAACTTTTAATTGTCAGTAAACGGCCTACACAATTTTGAAATGAAAAAAAGTCAGTGGCCCACATGTTTTTTTTTGAAAAATATTCCAGTGATAACCCATATGCACGTCCCTGATGAATTTATCGACACTTTTTTAGCATTAAAATATGTAGCACTTATAGTAACTTTTACCCTCAAAATTTTATTCGAGTCACTAAAAGTACTTGGAAAAAAATTATAATAAATCGAAAGCTTATTAAGACTTTAACACCCTGTGGCTACGAAACAATGCAGAATCGGACCTATGTTGATATGAAAAATAAATCCTATTTTTACGTGAGGAATCTCCCCACGAGAGATGGCACATGTTTTTTGAAACACCCTGTATACTAATACCGAGCATATGCATCATGTGGATTTTTGAAATATGATATCTACCTGTGTCTGGTAGATTCCGGTCGCCCGACACAAAGGACGGAGACATTTTATAGGAACCGACCAGACACCTGTACGGATTTTGTCGAAATTTATACCGTCAATTCAACCTGCGGACGGGGTTCTCGGGGAATTTTATATAAAAGACGCGAATAAAAGTTTATAAAACATAAAAGGTTCCTAGACTTTCCCACCCTTGTCTCTATAAGGGTAGAATTATGGTGGAACAGTCGGGTTTATCCACAAAGATACTATGCAACGTCGTATTTTTTTGGACCATTAGGTAAGAGATTAGAATACTTTGATAATAAATATAATCGGTCTGTTCCTCCGTCAACTGCACTGGACCAACAAAGGATTAAAAATAGATGGAGAATATCTTAATCATCTAAGATTCGTCGCTGATGACATAGTCCTAATTGCCAATAGTCCTGAAGAACTACAAGCATAAATTACCGAACTAATTACAACCAGAAATAAAGTAGGACTCAAAATGCAAAAACTATAACGAACTAGTAGACAAAATAGACATTCTAATAAATAACATAACATTGGAAATAGTAGATAAATATACACACAACCAAACTTATATGGAATCACTCTTTATTTTTGACTAAATTTCTTACAAGGATAAAAATTGGTATACAACTTTAAGATAAAGCTTTTTGTTGTAAATAAACATGATAATAAAGAATAAACGACTGCTGCGATTTATTTTCTTTTGAATTTTGTGTTCAGT